TGGGACAGCACCATCCCCCCTGGGTGCTGAGGACCCTGCAGGGGTGATGCTGAGTTCCACTTTGCAAAGATTGCCACAATTAGCCAAGGGAGAATGAACAGAAAGCAGAGGGAACAGAATGGAGGGAAATGCAGGGAGAAGCCAGCTTGCCTTTCACAGTCCTGCCCAGAGCTGGGAGGGAGCTTGGGTGTGAAGGTGGAGAGAGGATGTTCTTCGTGTAAAGCAGTATTTGTTTTCTAACTTTGCGACCCTTTTCAGGTACAAACAGAACCAAAACCCGAGTTACAGGGAATGCAGCACAACCAAGGACCAGAAACATCTGTACAAGGAAAGGATTATTAGAACACTTTATTCCTTTGTAGGGTGCTATCCTAAAGCTCTTCTTTGTTTCCCTGCTAGGTCTGCTCTTTCCTTCCAAAACACCTGGAAAGAAACCATTCTCCCTTCCCCTTCTCCTCTGTCCTGGTCTGGGAAAGAAACAGAGCCCAGTGCAGCCCCTCTGACAGCAGCCTCTGGATCCTCCTTGCACTGCACTTTGGAGCCAAATTGGGTGCTTATAGCTACGCCGGCAAGGACAGGGAGGTATTTTCCTTTCAGGAAGTGAATGGGAGAAGAACTTTCCATGCCTGCTCACAATGGTCTTTCCTAAGGCTGGCTCATCTCCAACCCTAACTATTCTATGATTCTATGATTAAATCCCCCCTTCTTCCACCCTGCTGCTGGAAGCTGGGTTTCAAAGGCCTGCCCTGATGCGCTGGGATCCAGCAGGCAGTGGGGAGCTGGGGATGCAGGAGCAGCAGTTGGCACAGGGGTCTTTGCTCCTGTGTGGCAGCAGGGCTGCAGCTGAGCTCCTGCTCGCTTGCATGCGGAAGCCAAAGGCTCTCACGACATTGAGCCCCTCTGAGTTTAGCTGGGAAGGGTGTCAAGCACATCCTTTGCTGAGGGTGCTCCTGGAGCTACACGACTATCACTGCTTTGAACGCAGCTGTTATTCAGCAGCACTTGGCCAGAGCTAGAGGGATTTTCTGTGCCACCAAACCTAATCTCATGCCAGAACTAGGAGCCAGCCACAACCTAAAAGGAGAACATGGACACATTCTCTTGAAGCTCCTTCAGCATGAGCCAAACCAAGGGGCTAAAGCATCTCCTCCAAGCAAACTCGTTTTCTCCCTGCCTTCAGACTTTGAATGTAGTGTGTCCTGCAGCTCCTTCTCATCCAATCTCAGCATGTCATAAGCACACTTCTACCCATCTATGGTATCTTTGACTGGTTGGAAATTTTCTAACCTCATTTTGAAGCCCACGTTCTCCCTCTGTAGGGAGGAAAACCAGCTCTGCCTGCACGTTTCTTCTTGTAATCTAAAATAAGTTCCGCATTAAGCCTCACCAGCTCTGTATTTGTGTGCAGGGAGAAACAGGAAGAGAAATTTAGGAGCAGGAGCAGAAGCACAAAGAAAAAGAGATCGCCTTGCTTCACTGCTGTTCCCTGCATCCCTTCATGGGTCAGAGCATCTGCTGAAGTACTGCACACTTGAACAGAGAGGGATCTAGAGAGTGAGAGGAGTTTCTGAACACCCAATCCATTGAGAGCTGCATGAATTTCCAGACTCTACCAGTCAATGTTTAGATACCCAAAACTTTTCCAGCATCAAATGACTGACTTGTGATCCCTGCACAGCTGCTGCTGCCTGCAGAGGAGATCAGCCATAAGCCATGTCCCCACATCACCCAGCTGGGTCATGCCAGTGCAAGCTCGGCTGTGTTTTCTCACCATATCTTGCTTAGCAGCAGTAAGTCACGAGGAGGTAAAGAGGGCCTGAACTGCAGACCTCTTTTCTCTGAGCACCTGGAACTGAACTCTGGTTGGGACCTGAGGTGGTTTTTGCTTACTGAGAAGGACAGCTCTCTTTTGCTTATTGAGATGCACTTGCCAGAAGACATTTTTGTTTGCTTTTTAAACACATCAACCCCCTATGATCAGTGCTCTAGTTTTCAGTAGCATCTGCTGCACTCCTGACTTTCAATCTCATTCCTGGCAGAGCCTCCTCACCTTCTCCTTGCTTGCTGCGAACACAAGTGTTGTGCCTCCAGCAGAATCAGGAAAGGAAAGGAGAAATGAAAGCAATGGCTATTCCATTCTCTCTGGCAATCTTTGAGGTATCTTGCTACAAAAGACACAGCATTCCCACCTTCTTCCCTTGTTATTTAAATTCTTCTCACAGCCTTGAACATCACTGAGATGAGTGCACCTGAGAGCACAGCCTACTTCTGTCGCCCAAGGTCATTGTGTGCTTGTGAAGCATCTCAGACCAGGCTCTGCATACACACTGTGCTTTCAGCACTGACTCTAACACAAGCCTCCAGCCTTACTCCGTGAAGGCTGAGAAACCCAGCACTCTTTTTGAACAGGGCCTAATCCCCTTGCAGTAAATCAGTTTTCTCGCACTCAGCATAAACATCTTGTTTTCAAGCCTTATTGAAATGGAGATGCTAACTATATTTACTCCTACTTTGCAGAGTTTAGAGCAAAACAAAAACAACAAAACCCAGAACCTGTTTTCCTCATGCTGGAGGAACAGGGGCTGGCATCTCCTGCAGGCAGCCGCTGATGTATGGAGAAACAATGGAGCTCTCACCTGCCCACAGAATTAATGATGAAGAAACCAATGGGAGCAGCATCTCTAGGAGAGGACCTTATCCACTCTCGGGTCATTTCCAAAAAGAGGTTTGAGGCAGGGATGCAGTCAAGAAGAGCTCAAGGGTAAGCAGAGTTCACTTACCATTTTAAGCAATGCAAAGTTTGCATTTTTCATGATACATCAAAATAAGAACAAATGATCCTGCCAATTTATTTATTGCAACACCTCTGAGTTAGCAAAAGATGCCTTTGTTATCCCCACAAAATGACCTTCATCATTTTTCTCCTCTGAAATGTCACTTGCAAAAAAAGATGTTGGTTCCAGCACTATAGTGTACACTGTACTTAGTACTGGTGGCAGAAAGGAGCAGGAAGGGCTCACAGACCTGACTGAGTACTCAGTTGGATCTTTCTCCATTTTGGCTTTGGAGTGTAGCCTGCAGGAAGAAAGAAATGTTACTTGTATAGAAGATGGATGTTACCTCAGTGGGCAGAAAGGCACTGCAAGTTGTTCCACAAACGACATGTGGTTGCCAAGCTCATGGTCCCACCTGAGCCCACTCATCGTGACTGTCACCCTGACAGGCAACCAGGTGACTGACTATAGCCAATTCATCTAGCTTGGCCATGTCTCCCATTCATGGCCAAACATCAAACTAGGTGGATTACAAATCATCAAGGACTAGGTGAAAAACTGCAGGATTGTCCTTGTGCCAAGTACATCAGGTGGAAGATGACAGAAATAACAGCATCCTTCACAGTCACACCAGCACAAAGGGGCGATGAGTGTCCAGGCAATGCCCAGGACCTACCTGAAGCTAAGCCTTGGACAAAACTGTCAGAGCATGGCCACCTTCCTGAGCGCAAACTTACCAGGCACAACATGAACTGTCTTCTGTTCCTCTAGCAGCCACAAAAAGCAACTGCATTGAAAAACATTCAAAACAGACTATTTCTGTGAAAAACTGTGATTTTATTTTCAAAGACATACACTAATGTCCTAAGCAGAAAGCCAGCCTACCGTCCTGAACTAAAAAAACAAAGCCATACTCTGTAACTGAAAATTGCTACCAGCCTGCATCACTTGTGTGCCAAGCACAGCAATGCATAACACGCACCAGCAACCCTTTATCCTTTATTGTTGACTTCTGACCCCAAGGGCAGTTTCCATTTCTTGTCCACTTTCTCTGCTTTAAGAAGCAGCACGTACTGCAGGCAGCAGAGCTCATGCTGCCTTCCTTTGCCATTTACTTCTGTGCAAGAGCAAAGCCTTGGGGCAGCGAGCACCCTGTCCTTATGCAGGAACCACTCTTCTACACTGGGGACTAAAACAGCCAGGAGGCTTTGGAGGTCTTATGTGGAGGATGAAATTAGCCCTTAAATTTACCTTAGCAGGAGCCACCATTTATGCTGTGAAAAGTAGGCAAGACAGTGCAGAGGAGAATCAGTAAGTTTCACCTTTGTCACTGTCTGCAAATGAAACCATATTTTAAAGTGTCTCCAAATGTGACAACAGGGAAAACCTTCAGGGGGAGACAAGTTCCCAGGTGATAGCCAGAAGATGGACATGGTGGAATAATTATCACAAACTTTTCAGGGCCAATCTAGTTTTTCTGCCATGTCTGAGAAGAAATCTTAGAGGTGCAAACCGTCCTCTATCTTCTCCTATTCTTGGACATGAGGTAACATTTTAGGGAGCTCTTCTCAGTGGAGAGAGTGCTCATCTCATTCCCTGTTTTACCAATAGGAGAAAGTGATCTGGCCCAAGTTTACTAGTGGAGGTTATTTGAACAGAGGTAGGTCACTCCCTAAGCCATCTTCCTGTTACTGTACTGCATTAATAATATGTAGATAGCATAGAAATCTGTAACTCTGTCCTTTCAGACAGAATAAGGAAACAGTCACTTAATTAAGATGCTATAGTGCACAGACCAAGCTCTATGGTAACTCTCACTCTGAGCTTGCAGGACTGGTTTCCCTGAAGGACTGGTATCTGCAGCAACGAACAACTGATGGCAAGCATCTTACTGCATGTGGCTTAGGGCATGCTTTGTTGGCTACACAGAGAGCTGCTCACTGGCTTCAGGTAAGCAAGTGGGAGATGTCTTCTTTAGATTTGGCACATTCTGTCTTTAATACATATTTTAAAAGCACATAGTGGTGGGTAAGCAGGGTAAGAGCATTTTACATACACCCACTCCTTTTGAGAGGTGATGTTAAACACATAACACAACAACTCGGTGAAGCAGAGGAAGAGTACTGCCAGTAAATGAGTATGTCACAATGATTTGTCTCAACTCTTGCAGAGGCAATTTAACATGATTTCAGTGACAGTCTGTCAAGAACACACAGGAATTCACTCTAGTGTCAGCATAACTTTTATTTATTTATTGCTGTCCATATGTACAGTAAAGGAAGACCTGATGTGGCTACCTCCTGAGTACAATACTTTTGTAAAGACTGATATTGTGGCTTTTGATGATAATAGATCAATGGTGCTGCATTGACAAGCCACAGGGTGATTTTCCTAACTGCCTGAATAACAGATACACTCCCTGGCTGTCCTTTCCTCTGTCCCTTCCAGCATCACATAATATAGACCTTCTAACTGTAAAACAGCCAGAGATAATGTGATGACAAAGTAAAGGGGAAAACCAGCTCTGTATTGCTTTCTCTGAGCCGTTAAGCCTTGTAGGAGCAAGAATTCATTTGTGGCTTTCTAACAAGCAAGCACGAGTGGGAAAAAAAAATAAAATCACAGAAGCATCAGGTATGCTAAGGAGGGATATAAATTCTCTTTTCCTATCGCATTACCTGACATCACAAAAATGTCAGCTTTCAGGGCTGGACCCTCTGACTGTATAAAACCTCCCATTGCCTCACAGAAGGATACTGGTTGCTAACTGCCTGAAATGGAAAATACAGGCTGTGCTTTCAGTGCTTTTCCTCTGATCACACCAGAGTGATGCCCTCCAGGAGCATCACATCCTCTCAATATGTTCCTCCACCCAGCATCAGGCTTCTCCTCTGACTGGGAAGCCAGGGCTCCCCTCCCATCAGCCTTATCTCTGACTTCTCCCTAGAAACAGCACTGAACCTTTAGGGAAAGAACTTAGGCAGACAGAATACAAAGCCTGGGACTGGACAGTGTCCCAGCCTGCATGGGAGAGGTAAGCAGCTACACCAGTGTTACTGAACCTATGTAATACCCAGCAATACTGATGAGTGGCACAGCCCTGAAAGCCCCAGAAAATCTGCACACAAGACCCCCTGAGTCCCAACTGTACCTCTGTTGCTAACTTTATTCACATATGAATTGTTTATTCCTTTGTTTCCCAATGTATACCATGGGGATAACAGCATCACTGAGTGTGCTTGTCAAGTGCTCTGTAAGCACCAGGCAGTGCTGTTGCTACAGCAAGGGTAATTATTAGTCAGCTACTTGCTTAAAATAGGTGGGAGAAGCTGCAAGGTTTCCACCACAAAGGGATCCCTCTCCTGTAACATACATAATGACCACACTGAGGGCAAATCCTTCACTGCAATAACCACATAGTGAGCACTCAGAAGGAGAACACAGGCCAGCCAGAGGCCCACCTCTGAATAGGCTGTCCACGGCTCCTCTCCCAGTGCAGCCTTGGCTTGTCAGAGATCCCAGTTTGACCAAGATAGCCTAAATTGCAATCAAGAGGGCTGGTAGAGAGCAGTACAATGTCTTGGACACAGGCTATTCACTGCAGCACATAGAGATTATTTTCCCCACCTCCATAGACCTGACAGCTCTCTGCTCACAGTGACTGATTCTCCAAGCAGTCATGGGGTTTGTTGCTGGACACTTTTCACCCACCTGTCCTCCAGCTTGTTTTACAGAGGTGGTGAGGAAGTCATTGGAGCCAAATCAAAGGCTCCTCCACACTGAACCTGCCCACAAACAACATCTGCAGCACATACCTTTGTTCCTCCTTCCAGCAGTGACACAGCCACACATCCCAGTATAAAACAAGTGCAAACGTGGCCCCAGGATGTTTTGCCCACAGTCAACACAACACATCACCCCTCCAGCTTGCATTGATGCCACTGAGTTACCTATAAACTCTCTGCACATGATCCTCCTCGGAGCCAAATCCTCAGCATCCTCAGGTTGTCTTCACCTTGTGTTGTAACCATTTGCTTGAAAGGGTGTAGCATCAGGAGGCTGCCCTGCGTGTGATATTATTGCCTGTGCTTGGGAGGCTGGGACTGCTGCAGTCTTCAGCAAACTTTCCAGGGAATGTGCCTCACCAAAGCTGACTGGGGGTGTGCAGCGAGCCATTTCCTGGGGGGGATCAGGCAGAACAGGGTAAGCGGTGTCTGGCTGGGGAGGCTACACTAGTTGGAGTGCTGGCTGATAAAGGGCTTTCTCAGAAGCACTTGTGTTTGGCAGACAGACCAGACACGAAAGGAAAGAAGAGGCACTTCCTAAGCTACAGTCTGTGGTTCAGTATAACACCGACCGTGGTGTCTTGGCAAGTCATGGCTTAACATAAGCGGCTGAAGCAAACAGATCTGGAGTGACCAGCAGAGGTCTGCCAGGCTACAGGAGCATTCAAACTAAAGCAAAGCCACTACCTGAGGGAATTGCCTACTCACAACTTTCCCCCACTTTTCCCACCAAAAGGCAAATCTCCCCTGTGACCCTAGTGCCCAGTGGCATAACTTTTGCAGAGCTGAACGGCAAACTGAGATCAGAAAACCCCTCCCAGCAAGAGTCACTTTTCATCCCCTGAAGCAGAATCCTGTTGCGACCTCATGATCTGATAGAGAGTTTCCCTGAAGTGCTGGTCCCGGCTCAGTCTTTTGGCTGCTTCTTTCAGCTCCTCAATGTTTTCAGCTTCTGCGTGCGAGAAGATGAAGGACTGGGATTGCTTCACTGAAACAAGAGCAGCACAGAAAGGTCAGCACCATCATCAGGGACACAAACTGAAGAAAAAGCTTCACTAGAGCACACCAGCCATGCGATCAACGTGACTGAGAACCTAGCAAAGAATAAGCTAAACATTGCACTGAAACAGCTTCATTGTACTGTTTCCAGAGGAGGAAAATGCTGATGGCACGGAAAGATATTTTCCTTTTTTTACAGCTGTCTTTTATTTAGGGTTCTAAAGAGAACCTGACCTAACCTTGCAGGTAGCCACCCCGAATACTTGATTGGACAATGTCCAGGTGTCTCTTCCAACCTAAATCAGCCTATGATTAAGCATTCAGATGAAGCTGGCTTTGAGAATGGATTTTTAGGGGCTCAGGACCATCACAGCAGTTACCTTTCAATATACCTGAAGAGACAATCAGCACACAGACGGGAAGCTCCAAGCTTCTCTGTAACTCTGTGCTGCTGCTAGGGAATATGAAATATGAACCACATGACCTTACTGCTCTGTCAGCCCCATCTGCACATACCTGCTCCTGTGGGATATAGAGTAAGAACCTGCCCAAAACCTACAGTCATTCCACGAAGCACTGGCTCTCCGGCGGTGGAAGCGGCAGCTCTTTATGCGACGAGTGGCAGCCTTTTGGATGTACACAGAGTTCTTCATGATCACAGGCATCTTGGCCTCCAGCTCAGCATTGCGGATGCACTCTTCAAAGAACTCTGCAGAGGGGAGAAGACATCACTGTGAACAGTGATGGGAGAGACACTTCAAGCAATGAACCAGTCACAAGGCACTGCACATGATGATGGGCTGAGTCAGGTAATGACATTCGACACCTCCCTAGATCTTCATAAACAGCAGTCCATGAAGCTCCAGAATACCATCAGAATGAAAAAACATAGCGACAAAACCTTCCAGTCCCCAGCAAGTACATACTCAAATTATAGAAAGAACTGCAACCATCTATTCCCCATCAACCATTCCCAAAACCACTCATGATTCAGCTTCTGTTATGATAAAACTTCTCAACTCTCTTGCAAGAGAGGGGTCTGAAGCTTTGCTCACTGCACTTTTTTGGAAGGAATGCAGTGTGAAACCAGGGAGGTCTAACTGCAGAAAGGGAAGTGTTGGCATACATGGCCAGGGATTTCTTAATAGCATAGCAAGTAGTGGCACTTACATACACACATTACAGGCTCCTTGCAAAGCCCTGTGTCCAAACTCTAACAATGTTACTCCGTCCTGATCTGGCCCAGAAGCTGCTTTTCCTGGTCCATTTCTGCTTGCATGGTCTAATTGGCATATCTTCTGACATTCCAGTCTTGCGGTCCTCCTGCCTGTTGCTGATGCCCTGCTGTTCAGAGGGCTCGTGCACTAATGAGCCCCAGCTCTTACAGGAAAGCGCAGAGCAGAGCTTCAGGAATCACTTGGAAGGACTGAAGCAATCTGTGGTGGGACTGACATTAAAATGCTGCGGGTCCCTCCCTTTCTCCAGTGTCTTGCTCATGAGTACATTTTTACACTTTTGAAGAAAATATCCCCAAAACTTAAGATTGGAAATGAGTGTCAGGAGACACTCGGTGCCAGAAGTTACTCATTTATATCCTGCGCAGGTAGCTCAGCTCAAGACAAATGTTGAGCTCAACACATCCACTTTAGCTCTGTTGTTTTTCTTTACCATGGCTCTGAGCCAGTAGAATGAAGTTCAGAATCATGCCCTTTTGTCTTAGTTCAGAAAAATGATGTAGAAATTACTGAATAATACTTATTTTTTTACACGTATCAATTATAAATATTGTATATAAACTATTTATACATGTATTTATACTTCTATATGTAATAGTGTTCAGAATGGTGTAGGCCTTTTTGACTTTTCTATAGTGGCCCAATATATCCACCTTTTACTGAAACAAACCACAGATACTTGATCTTCATAATAGCCTTCCCCTGAACTGTACCTGAGGATGGAAAACAAGCAGGACTTCAACACAGTTGAAGCTGAAAGTGTCAATTCCCAAACCTGACTCAAGCCAGATGCTAGGATCATGGCCCATCTTACCAGAAAAATAAACAAAACAAAAAGGCAAAGAACGGGATAAGCTGTGAGGAGCCTTACACCTGACCTGTGGACTGCAGTCATCTCAGCACTGCAGTGCTGGGCTGACGCTGTCTTTTAGCTCTGAGTAAGGATCCAGACCTCGCCTGCTGGGTCACCTACCAGCACATTGCTACAGCAACCACAGTCCTCCTTAAACTGATGATGTTCCCATAATGAAGGCTGAGAAAAGATTATCCTGAGGGGAACTGGATCTAGCTAGTCTTCACAGCTCTGCCACAGTTTTCCTGTTTGACATTCTGGAAAGCATTTGCTCATCTCTGCCCCTAGGTTTGTCTTCCACACAACAAGGCAGGCTGGGAGAATTTTGCCCTCCTTTGATGGAGAAACACCAAGTGCTGGCATAGCATGTCCTGGCTTCTCAAAAGGAGGTGTGGTTGAGGTACAAGGGGTTGGGAGAGCACGTTATGTGCAGCTTCACTAACTTGGGAAGTTCTTTTTGTGTCTGGGAAGATGGGTAGAAATATTTCCTCTTTCAGAACCTGCTGATCAGTAGAGGATGATGGATGACTGACTTACTTCTCAAGTTACTGACATCTGCTTTCATCTTTTCCTCTTTCTCCTTGTTGCAATCCAGGGAGTTTAAGCCTTGCTCCAAGCTCTGCAATGCTTCCTCAGCTTCTCTCAGTCTCTTCTCCAGATCCATGCGCACCTTCACCTCAGCCTGAGGAAGAGAGTGAGCATTGCTGAAAACCAGCTTGTGTCTCAATAACCACCCTGCTAACTCACAGGGTCTGTGAGGAGCCCCCCAGCAAATGAAAATGAAAAGACAACAGTCAGGAACACCAACAGAAATATTGTATGACAACACAAATGTTGTTCCTGGTGTCTTCAGACACAATCTGAAACCGAAATATACATTATTTTAGTAATTCTCCTTTACTCTGACTTTCATTTTCACTGCTTCTCTCTCATTGTATGTGGAATCAGAGGTGGAATTTCAATATGTGAGTTCAAGTACTTGCAGCTGAGGAGGAACAGGAAGACATCTTTCCAGCTGAGACAGACTTGAGATAAAGGCAATCAGTTCCCACAGAGGGGTGCACAGTACTTAGTTTCAGAAACAACAAACAGGAAAATTTAGAAATAAAGGATTTTATCAGTAGTAACTTAGCAAATGAGAATAACTAATACAGGGTAGGTCAACGTAGCTTTAGTTTGTCCAAGTGGAAGGTTACAGCATAACAAAATCTTGGAGGTGAAGGAAAAAGAAGAATTGGGGGTAAGGGGGTTCGGACAAAATATTTGTAGCAGAAGGTTGAGTGTCAAACAGCCAATAATAAGTATAATCTTTACATTACTTAGATTAAAATACAATAGCACACTTTGTCCAACTACCTTTGTGTAAATTAAGGTATCTTCCACTACTGGGATAATGAAGGAGGGCTGGTACCTCACCTGCATTCCTCCGCTTTTGAATTCAGTTTCATGCAGATGTTCCTGGAGATTTAAAATCTCAAGATTGATTCTCTGAGCACAAGTGAGGAGGAGAGATTTCTGCTCAGTTCTGCAATGTCCATATAAGCATTTGTTTGAAATAATATTTATTCTAGATTGTGTCTACTTCCCTCTTTTGTTTTTTCCTCCCCTCCATCTTTAGATGAGGCTTTCACAGGAGCAATTGAAAAGACTTTTACTGAACGGGTTAATCAGGCCTCAGAATAAGAAAATAAACAGTAGTGCTACAAAGATACAACATGTCAACTTCACATGTTACCATGATATGAAATTTGTAAGCACAAAATGAAAACAATAAAACCAAGTCTCCCACTTGGTAGGGGATAAACTGAAAGGGAAAATGAGAGGACTCTGGGCCCAGAGACAGCAATATGCAACGTGCACAGGGGATACCTTGAGGTCTCTCTCTGTCTGCTGCTTCTCTGCAGTCAGCTCTGTGAGTGAGTTCTGCAATGCTTGTGATTGGGAAGAGTAAAACTCCCGCTCCTCCTCCAGTGCTCGGGACCTCTCCTCATTCTCCTTCATCCTGGTACATGGCAAAGCAAAGGAAAATGACCATTCCCACCCCAGCACAACTCACAGGAGGGAAGGGGCTTAGTATCGTGATGGGGCATGCTTAACTACCTGGCTGCCCCGAGCAAAGGGGTGCTAACAGGAGCGCTGTCCGTGTTTCACTTTGGTAACACAGGCATTGCTAGAGAATGCCAGGTGGACAGTTCATAGAATCATAGAATGGTTTGGGTTGGAAAGGACCTTAAGATCATCAAGTTCCAACCCCCCTGCCATGGGCAGGGACACCTCACACTAAACCATGCCACCCAAGGCTCTGTCCAGCCTGGCCATGAACACTGCCAGGGATGGAGCATTTACTTCTTCCTTGGGTAACCTGTAAAGTTCTTGAATGGAACATTCTCAACCCCTAGACAAGGTCCAGAAGCACTAAACACTTCTTATGGACAAGTCCATGAACACCAGACGGATTCATATGCCTAAGTCCTGATTTGAAAGGAGCAGGCCCAAGCAGCAACAAGGAGTCCAACTGCCCTGCCTCACTCTTTTCCATCTGAAGTGTTTATAATGTCAACTCCTGCCATGAGAACCAAGCAAGCTTCCAGACTTGTCTTGCGCTGGCAACTGAAAAGCAGGTCAGCAGACAGGCACAACATTAGGCAGCACTAAGCCTGAGCAGCGCACAAGTGTCCTCTTCCTTTTACTGAACCCAAGAACGGAAATTAAAAAGAATCTTGCTTCTCTGCAGGTCAGGATAAACAAGGAAACAGTTTTGATGTGACCCGAATTTTAAACCTGGAAATATTTGATTTTCTGATTGCCTCCCACTTGCAAGGGGGAAAATTACCTCTTTTCCCACCACCCTCTTCACACTGGATTGTATCTTTTCCCACATCCCTGTCTCTGGCACCACCGTAAGATCCCCACTTCACCTCTTCTCTGCCAAGAGTTTCTCCTCCAGAAGTTGCTGCATCTTCTCTTCAATCTGTTGCAGGTTGCAATGCAGTCCCCTGATGGGGTTTTGCTCCTTCCTGGGGCTAGTTGGAGGTGGGAGATGGCTCTCATTTTCTTCCAGCATCTCCAGCATTTGCTGCTTTTCTAGGGATAGCTCCTTGAAGAAGGGCAGAGGTTGTGAGTGCCAGCCAAGTCTAACAGTTCTGCTCTTGTTCCTGCCTGGGTTTCCCCATTAAGTCCCTCTGTCCATATATCCACATGCTTCATTCAGGTTAAAAACAGGAATAACAAAATCTGGTTTTCATTTTGGACCTCTCTTATGAGGAACAAGTGTCCACCATAGCCTTTGCTACGGAAGGGCATGAGAACTGGCAGGCTCTTTTGACAACACCTGCTGTAAGAACCCAGCTCAGGAACTGCAGCCCTGTGCGTCCCTAGTGCATCACTGATGCAGGCAGCTTCTCTGCCTTCCCTCCTCACCTACTCCTTAGTGTTAACTAGACACATCCACTGTGTGGTACTTCTAAGACATACCATGCTGCTTTCCTGTGAGGTGTCCAGTCTGGTGGGCAAAGAGGGCTTGAATGCACCTTCCCTAGCTTTCCAGTTCTTTCGTACCCATAACTGTGGGCAAGGAGATGGGCTCAAAGGAACATCAGCAACAGATTTTTGGACAAACTTGCATGATCTGACATGAACTTTTGGGGCTTCAGAAGGCAAACTGTGTGGAAGTTTCATAAACCATATCCATTTAGAAAAGCCACTTTCCACCAAGAGTGATACTAAGGAAGGAAAGGGTTTAATACATCAACACTGTTTCCTACATTCTGATGTGGTACACAATTTGCCTAGGAACCGTGCTCCCTTCTGTGAACAAGGAATGTGTTTCTGCTGCTCCAAATTCCACCAGGACTTAGACAGATGCACTTAGTATATATATGTAAAGAAGATATATATGCATTGTTATATATATGTCAGAACACTATCACAGATTTAAAGCCATGTTGGCTGGAAGGGACTATCTGGTAGCCTCTTGCCCAGCCTCCTGTTCAGAACTGGCATGTCAACACAGCAAGATCTGTTCAGCTGTGGCTTTCTACAGTCAAGTGGTGAAAACCTTCCTACATGTAGGTTCTTTAGCCTCTCCCACCACTAGCCTCCCTGTGTGGTGAAAAGTCTCTCCCTACTCTTCAAGCAAACTGCAATTTGTGGTTATTGTCCTACATCAGATCACTTGGTACTGCTGGGCTCTGCGCCAGTCATTCTTTTCTGCAGGGGATTTTGACTTTCATATCACCTACCAAATGAACCTGTTCATCCACACAGGACTTAACTCTGGCACTAGTGCGTGTTAGATTCATTCCACAGGACAGCATTGCTTTCAGCCCTGGTAAGTTCTCATGGATCATCCCCAGAATGCTGTCACTCAGAGGGGAGAAGTGGCCACTCACCTCTAGAGTTTTCTGTAAGGACTGTGTCAGGCTTCGCAACTCTTTCTTTTCTTCCTCCACTCCTTTAAGGGAGCGGGCTGTGAGCTCTAGCTCCCTAAAGAAGCAAAAAGGGTGACAGCTATTGCAGGGGAACACTAGCCCCACAGACCATGCTCAGACAGCACAAACTGTGGATCTCTTAGTGCACGACCTGCGACCAGTGGTTGATACAGGCAGCCCCGGAGAGTCTGGAGCTTGCTAGGAATCATCACGGCTTGAACACGCTATGGGCCTCCAGGAACTTTACTGGGCCTCCAGGTTGTAATGGGGAGAGCTCAGACATGGCAGTCATATCTAAACAGATATAGGTCTATGAAAACGAAAATGGTTTGCAAATTCACACTGTCTTTTCTGAGATGTTATTTAGAGAGAAAAAAGGGAGCAAGAGAGCAATGGCAAAACATAGCCTTTCAAACACTCAGGGAAAAGCACATGGATCCTTCCCTTTCTAAATACATTCACTGTTCATATCTTGGCTAGCAAAACTATTAAAATGAAAAGGTTATTCTTGGTGAGGCAACTTCATCATTCAGCTGACCATGGAAAACCAGATTCAGATGTCTGGAGCCCACATGGCAGGACACTCAATCAAACTAATTCCCTCTCTGAAATCCTTTAGGACCTGTCCATTGCCATGCTACTCTCACTAATCTAGGTTCATCCATGTCCCAGCCCTCTGAAAATGAAGCTGCTGGAGCCGTGAATGCAAAACGAAGCTAAGGCGGATTCCATTGGTCACACAAGTGAGAGTAAATGCAGGTAAATGGATCTCAACCATTCCTGGTTTGGTTAATATAGCATGTGTAAAATAGGTGGATTTTGCAAACTGTTTGGATTCACCACCACAGCAGCACTTCTGCCCAGTGTGGGAGCTCATGTCCTTTTCCTGCCCTGTGCTTTTCCCACCTTACCGTCTAATCTGTTCCTGCTCCAGCCGCAGCTCCCGTACCACCTCTTCAAACCGGTGCTTCTCTGCTTCCAACACCTGGTTCAGACGCTCGAGCTCCTGGACAGAAAGAGAAGGCAAGGAATGTACTCTGATGACACGCATAAAATTAGGAAAGGCTTCCCTGTTACCAATGCCTGTGACTTTTAACCTGAGCTATGCAGAGCCACGGGGTGTCCAATTCCACCACCCTTTTGTTCAGGAGCAGTTAGAATGAATTGAAGGTTGGTTGAGGATTTCCATACATCCAGAAGTCCCTGCCGTTTTACCAGGCACCTGGAAGTCCTGGATATGCTCCCTGCACAGATCAGCTCTGCTGCAAAATACAGAAGGTCCAAAGCCCCCTGGAAAATCTGGACTCACCGTGCATGTACCATTTCCAGGCACCCACAGGTACGGGTACAGAAAGCCTGGATGCAGGAAGGCCTCAGCACTGAAGTGTGACAGTTCTACTATCTCAGCCTCGTTTCCCATCCCTGCTGGGATAGGAAAACACAAACTGCACAGTTACAGCTTTGCACAGTTCAATCAGCCCATCACTACCTCAGTGCTTATAAAATCACGCTTAAAGAGCACTGAATACCACAAGCTATCCTCAAGCAATGAAACAGTCTCTTACCCTGGTCTAGGGGGCAGCTTTACAGAGACCTACTGCAAATGAAGGTACACAGGGACAAAGTACAGCAAGAGTCCTGGTCAGGTTCCCTTGCAGCCTTAGCTGTAGGCAGAACTCCTGCTGCAGGCCCAGGAAGGTCACAAAACACCCCTGACACCAGGTAAGTCCATAATAAGTCTCTTGCTCCATGATGCAGATACATGGTTCAAGCTGCTTTCCCAACATCGTGCTTTGAAGCCTTCAGGCTCACAGCAGGTCACACCAGAGCAGCTCAGTGAGCTATATATTAATTCCTTCATCAGTACCAAACTCCTTCAGACTAACCTGGCACTATCTGATCTTTGTGGACAGCAAAGATACCATGCATGGTTTTGTAAGAGCAGAGATTTGTTCCAGGACCTTTAAACAAAGGCATTTCCCTCTCTATGGCCGTGAGTTGGCAGCAGGCTACCTTTCCAGAAAGGGATGTCTCCCTGCAAAGGCAGAAGTAACTTAGCTCTAAAGAAGTGTCCAAGCCACCTTTGGACTTGATCTCTCCAGAAACACACACAGGAAAAACATAAGCCTGAGAAGCCAAGGTCAGCATTGCTGTCTTATGCTAAAGAGGGGAGACAGCCATTTTGGGTTAACTGGAAAAGAGCATGCAGCAGTTTGCAAGATTGCAATGTGGTGGTCTACATCCATGCAGGCTTTCCTACCATGTAATAGGACAACCCACTTTCAAAGTTATCGTAAAATAACTTCATGATAATGCTATAAAAGCTGGTATAGATGTAGTAACAACGTGAACATGAACTGCTTTTATTATATTAAGCAAATACAAGTTAGGAATAGTTTGGAAAACAAGAAACCTGTTTAATTATGATGTAATAGTCACATCTAAGGGAGTGCTCTCTTGAGTTTTCCTCACTGCAATGTTTATTATTCTCCCCATCTCTTGTGTGTCCAGAGAACAAATGATGTTGCTTTTTGCTGCTGCTTGGTTCTCACAACAGTTATCTCTACACTAGAACAGTGCCAGGTCTGTTCATTTGCTTTCTAACTGTGCAGACAAGTTGATGGCCACAGCTGTCTTGAATCTGCCAAAAAACAAGTGTATAATTCAATCCAGGGAATACTAATTTAATGAGCTCTTCTTCCCTTTTTCTCCTGAGACATATATCACAAGAACATTGCATGGAAAGTGCCTGGGAAGGGCAGCAGGGATACACCTCCAGGACTGATCTCACGGCACAGCTCTTATTCCCTTCTTTATCCACAGGACCCATAGGTTGGCTGGAGACACTTTCTGGCTTCAAAACCTCCCTCCCTGAACCCTGATATGCCCTCCAACTGACAACTCCCAGTCTCCCAGTCCTGCACATGGAAGTTGAAGCAAATTGGCTTGTGATGAACACTCACCTCTTTTTGCTCCCTCTGCAGGCACAGCTCTTCTGTTTCTTCCATTAGCTTATCTGCAAACACAAAAGGCCAAATGCAGGGAAAAGAAAAGCAATTTATATTGTGGGAATATTTATGGGCATGAAACACTGACTGAGGCTTGAAAATGCAGTGTTCCCTATTGCTCTGTGTGTATCTGTCTGGGAGAATCCAAAGGATGAGATGACAGTAATGGGATGTTCTGTAATTTCCAGGTTGCTAAATGACTTAATAAACTAAGCAACCATACTGCTGCGTACTCCTTCTAAGGTTTCCTCTCAAGTATTCTTAAAGAGCATTAAAGAACTAACCTCTGCAATCCTCTGAGTCAGGAAAATACTCTTATCTCCGCTTCTCACATAAGGAAGCAAACGCCCAGAAAGTAGGTGCACAGAGTCACGCACCACTGCATAGAGAGTCAGTTCTCCTGCAGCTCTGTGCCCCATCCCTACCCTCCTGGCACATCACCCTTCTCCTTCAGGCACCTGCCAGCACCCGTTTGTGATCTTGGCATGTCCCAGCCAAGCCCAGAAATCAATCCCCTAACTTAGCCACAAAACTCCTTAACCATTCTTAACTATTCGTGTTAATAATAGCTCCCCTCAACATCAGTTGCTGTTGTCTACTAAGGACACATGCCCACATGGGGCTCTGCCCTGATCCTTACACTGTGACCTGATGCACCGATGCTCTAACCGTAAACAGGCTCTGCCTTGGGCAGTTTTTAATTGTTACAGCTGTGTGGGGGACAGTTGAGAGGTAACTTGGGGGATCCAGGGAATTTCCTGGAACACTGCTTGCTTTCCCCAGAGAGCCTTGACCTGCTGCCAGGAGCAGCACCTGACCTCAAAGCTTAACTGCAGGATGCACACAGATCACTGAAGGTAAGGTTATTGAGGCAGAAGCCTCAGCAGTTATATAGGAATAAATAGACAATAGCTGTCAAGAGAAAGTAACCAACTGTGACAACTGACCAGCTCTGAATGTTCTTGTCATGGACCAAAGAACCCAGTGAAATATGTATTTTATATTCCAAATGATCTCCTGTTTGCCACAGAAGGTGTACTCCTCTATTCCTCCATCACCTTGTCTTGTACTGTGGCACCCTTCAGTCTCTTAGGCTGCTCCAGTGTTTGCAAAATAATGTTTTGACAAAACTTTCCTGTTTCTAGCTTTCCTCCTGTCTCTCCAGGTCCTCCTCACAGCACTCCCTGTTATCGCTTTGTCAGGTGTGGAACCTGCTTGCCTCATATATGAGGCCGTACATCAGCTCACATGTGTGAATGGCACTTAGGTGGCAAGAACGAACATGCCTTGATACTTGAATTATGATCACTGTTATATGTGAGACCACATACTGAGATCACCCCCGATCAGCATGAATGCAGAAATGCAGGTTTTTCAAGATCCCTCCAATGGCTTGATCATTAGGAGTAGATACCATGAATCCCTGCTCAAGAAATCACCAACCTGAAGCACTCGATATTGCTGCTAGATTGTTTAAAGCAGATGACTGCCCAGACAAGCCACTGAGTTCACGCATGTGATCAGCAGCCCCCAAGTCAGAAGGTCTCTTACACTTTGGGGAATGGTCTAACTTAGGAGGTGTCTGGGTTAAGGCTACTCTCCCTTGGCTCTTGCTATGGGCAACGTGGGGAAGAGACAGCTGGACTGCCCAATGCAGTCAGAGCACCCAAGGTACTGCCATCCAGAGGCTGGTTTCCAAGTAGCCAATTGGACTACATAATGTTCAGCAGTGTCTTCCAACCTAAATTATTCTATGTTCATCTGGAGCAACTGCTCTCTCTCCATTGCCCATGGAAAGAGCAATGGCAAATTAGCCGTTAACACTGGACACCTCAAAGAAGCCCATGTAAAAGCTATCCCTTCCAATATGATCAATGTGAGCAAATGTAAAGACTGAGTAAGACCAAAAAAACGCAAACATCTGGAGGAGGAGAACTCATGCATGAAAAGCTGTGATTAGCCTCAGAAATACCAGTCCTACGTGATTCAGGGAGACAAAGGTACTGGCTCTTTGCCTGGTGAGCAGCTGAAATCAGCACATCCAAACTTCCCAGGGACAGCAAACATTTGTGCAGTCCAGCCGTTGGGAGCTGCAGGACTGCAGCGTGCTGGCCAAAGCACGTTCCTTTCATGCTCCACACAGATGTCCAGATCCTACCTTTACATTTTCATGTTTTAACTCCCTTCAAACCTGAATTTCAGCTGCTGACTACTGCAAAGCTTCATCCAGTAAACCTGTAAATCCTTGGCTTGGCCATACTGACAACTCCAGAAAAGCAAAATGGCTATTTTTGGATTTATGGCTTTTGGAAGTAAGAGTTTCCTACCTAAATATTCCTGCTTCTCCTTGGCCAGCTGCAGTCCTTGTGCTTCCAGGCTCTCAATCATGGCTTCTCCCAGCTGAGCATTCTTCCAGGTCCTAGGGAAAGCAGACACAAAGCAGACAATGTAAGAGAGAACTAAGGGTCCCACGGAGCAAGGCAGAGGACTCAGCCTAGCAGTCTATCAAGACAGTGGCACTGTCTTCTGCAGCATTTCCAGTATTTTGCTGCTATAGCCACTCTTCCCCTTCAAACTGTTATTAACTGTTCATTGACTCCTTCACACAGTCTTCTACCTTCAGCCTTCCTATTATTCATCATCCATCCTGGAACCAATCAATCCCTCCTCTGCCAAACTTGCAAGCCACTAGGATTTGGTGTCTAGCCCTACACCATGTGTTAAGTGCCTTTCCCTGTAAAAACAGTGAAGAACCCGAGACAAAAGCCTGACAAGACACTAGTAAGTAGGGAGAGTCAAAGGAAGCAGGCATATTCAAAGAGTACCCTGAGTTATTGTAGGACTTTGGCCTAAGGATCTCAGGGTCTCTTGAACATATTAGGAAACTAAGCTGCTAAAACAAGGCCTGTGGAGCAGATGTCCATTACTGATTGAGCTGATGGACCAGGTTTAATACAGATATTAAATACCAAGGACAAGGACACACAAATCAAAAACAGAACCAGAAACGGAGTTCGCTGCTCACTTCTATTAATGTTCCATTAGAAAACAAAATACCTAAACACATAAAATGCATACATAAAATTCATCCCGATCTATTTATATAGACATACATACAGGAACAGCAATTGCTGCCCAGAAATTCTGCCATCTTCATTAAATCCTAAGGGAGCTTATTAATATTAAATACCTGTTAAGCATTCTGGTACCAGGCCTCTTTGTGAGCCATGTGAAATTACAGTTTTTCAGAAGCTGTTAGGTTGGCAACCTCTTATAAAGCAGTGTCAAGGCAACCTGTACTTCATCTCTTACAAAAGCCAGACAATTACACTAAAAACACATCACCCCAGGGACTAGGGAGCTCACAGCTCCAGCAGCCCAAGCACTGCCTTGTGCTCTTCGCAGACAGCTGGGTTTCTTTCAGCTAATGAGCATCTAGGATATTCAGAAGTGCAGAAGAAATTAGAATGCTAATTAAAAAGTTGATGTTTTGCCCACAGGTAGACATCTTCATCTTGAGTGAGAACATGTGAGTGCAAATGTGTTTTTCCACTAATACTCTCTAATACAGGATGAATCTAACCCCAGAGAAATCAAGAGCAAACATTGCAAGAGTGGGGTGGGGAGCATGACAGAGCTTATTTTATGATTACTCGGAAGGTCCCAAAACAGCTGCAGCCTTTAAGGTGTCTGTTTATTAGATTCACCTTTTCAGTGCGACCTCCTTTCCCCAGCCTAACAAGATGTTTCTCTGTTTGTAACTCAAAGGTTACGACACCCACTGCTGTATAACTCAGAAGATGCACTCATATCACTGTGTAGCATGTAAGCTTTTATTCCTTTTATCTGCTGGAACCATTACCAGCGTGTAACTGCAGCCACAGGGTGATTCAGGCCGTGACTTCAGCTGAGGGGAGAGCAATTTTGTGTTTCTTACCAAGTGAGTTTCTATCAGAAAAAGCTGCATGGCTTAAGGTACTGGGAAGCACAGGGTCAGGAAGGCTCCTGGGACAAGTAGAAAGAACCCCTATAATATACTTGTGAAAACGACACCCCAAAGCTGTGTAAGAGCTCCATTTGCTCTTCAGCTCAAAGATCATTTATCCTAGTCCTTTTGCAGCACTGGGAGCTTTGCCTGCATTTTACCTTTCTCAAGAGCATTCACAATCAGGTTTTTTTGTTCCATGGGACATATGTAGTATGTTACCTGTTTTGTTTTGGTTTTTTCCTCATTGCCAACTTAAGTCTGCTTTCAACCAGTGCAGGGAATGCTGCTATGGACATAGAGAGTGTACATGTGCCCACGTCCCCTACTAGGAGCAGCAGAAGCCTCTCTGGGTGGGAAGAGAGCCCAGCCAGCTGGCAGTCAGGGCTTTGGCACTTCTGAGAAGTTCTCTAAGTCTGCCCAGTGTGGTAAGTCCAAGCACACCATGTCAGGAGGCTGAAGAGACCATCGGCTCCCCTGAGCACTGAGTAAGGGGTCTCCCTATCAAACCAGGAGGCTGGGAAAGGAGTGAGGAGCTGAAGGGATCACTGGGCAGACTGTGATGGTGGAGGTGCTAGGCAGCTGTGCAGGCACAGGCACACACACACACACACACACACACACACACACACCACCCAGCCCGAGATGTAAAGAGGCAGCAGACAGAAATTGAAACAAAGGAGAGAGAAAACAGATGCTTTCCATGCTGGGTTCACTTTTTCTTCTTTCCCCTATTTAACAAAATCTCAGTCTCTGGACTTGGTGTTTTCTGAGGGTGTTGGTTTTGCTTTTGTGTTGTTGGGGCTTTTTTTTTCCTTTGGTTGGTTTTATAATGAGGGAGCAGGATGATAAATTAAGTGCTGCAGTGCCATTGGCATTACAATCTCCATCTAGGAACAGCAGGACACTAAAACAGGTTGCCTAGAAGATCTCAGCTGTGTCCTTTTAGCTTTCCTATTCACTGCAGATCAATTTACTGGCCCACGCTGTGCTTTTCTGGCTGCTGCTTAGCTCCCAGCTTGACCCTGGTAGCATAAATCACATAATCTCTGCTTTTCCTCATGTGCAGGCTATCATCAGCACTGATTAGGCAGGCACTGGAGCTTCATCACTCTCCTTCTCTGATGAAAGAACAGAAGCAGAGAGGGGAGGGAAGGGGGTGTCTCAGGCAGATTGTCAACTGGGTGCAGGTGGTCTGCTGTATGATAGGAGCCAGTCTAGATCTTTGTTTTAAACATTAGTACTGGGATACTGAAGCAAGCACTACACAAAATGCTGGCTCTGTGAAATAAGCAGGTACACGTGACTTGTTTGTAAGACCCCTTCCTGCACTGTGCAGCCATGTTCCTTCCCTCCCATACACTCCTGAAAGACTTACTTGGCCCCCAAATTACTGTCCTTGGCAATCGTTGAGTATAGCATTAGTGAAGGCAAGTGCAGACCTGTGCTATCAAAGAAACAACTCAAAATTGCTCTAGGGCTAAGTCCGTATCCCTCCTCCTCTGCTGTGGCCAAGCCTGCTCCTTCTGAGTGGGTGACTGACCTCTGCCTTGGGTCTTGTGTCCCACGGGGCACATGCTCCCATAAAGCTCTAATGAACAGCTTTGCATTTACGGTTTATACAATACCATGGAGGTTACATCTTGCTCCAGCACCAAAGCCAGGCTCACTGCAGCAGCTCAGAGCTTGGCTTGGGCTGATCCACCATAACACTGTGCTCCCCATTAATTAGAAATGAACATTTTCAGCATCATAACATTGGAATTAACTGAGATACTACCTTTGCCATGCACACATGCATACATACACTGGTATTACAAGTTCAACTTGCTTGAAAGAGCAGCTATGGTCCCTACAGTCACAAGAGACCACATACACACATTGCAATGCAGCCAGGAAGGACAGAGAGAAGTTCTCACTGCTTCAAACCTCATGGCTCTGCAAGCTTCTGCCTGGCTTGGGAAAGTCAAGTCCCTCTTTAAGTGCTATTTCTTCCTGCATCTGCCGAGACTTAGGAAGAGCCTGCTTTGGGTTTGCAGGACAGCTGCTCACTGCACTGTCAGGCACCTGGGTACTGAGGGATTGCAGAGCTGGTGGCCAACAAACTGCAGATCTCTCCAGTATTCTCAGTGGACTACGGACTCAGTAGCGTACACACACAGCAATCAAACTCTCTCACACTGTAGGTGGGCTGGAAATGTTTTGCTAACATCTCCTCCCTGGGATATAGCTTGCCTCCGCTGTTCAGAATTAAACTGTCTCCAGAAACCAAATCCTGCTGTTGCATGGCCTGAGTGCCCTAGGACCTGAGCAGAAGCAATGCGCACCCATGGTCACACAGTTGCTTCATGGCTGTTACTGACGTCTCAGCATGACCAGGACAGCTAAGGAGAACAAGGATGTGCTGGTGAGGTCGCTGCTCACCAGTGAGGTGTAGAGCCACAGAGACAGCTGCTCACAAGCTTTGCACCTTGCCTGTTCTGCTCTTACCTTACCCCAAATTCATACACCTGCACCTCAGGGAGGTTTTCTGACCCACAGCTTCGTCAAGCCTGTGGACCTTCCTTCCCATACAAAATGGTCTAGGGGAGCTCCCACCTCTCTGAGCAAGAGAGAGGGACAGCAGATGCCACCTGGTATATCAGTGTTTGACATATGACGGTCTGGGGTTGGTAACAAAGAGCTGTACTGCATACTACACCCGGGCAGGAAGATTTAGGTCAGTTTTAGAGCATGCTTGTGTAAGAAAGAATGAGTCCAGGAGGCAAGTGAAGGTCTCGCTAGTCTAGGGGAGCTTTTCTGCCTTCCCCATGGCCCTTCTAGTCAGGTTTCTTCCCCTTTATCCTTCACACATCTACAGAGCAGATCAAAGAGAATAAGGAATAGAAAGAAGCTTACACTTTTCCAGACTCCTGTAGCATCTCCAGCCACTGAGCCTGCTCAAACTCTGATTCGGCTGCTAGAACAATGTTACCCTAGAAGAGGGGAGGGGAGGGGGAAAAAAGCCTGGATTAGAGAGGCTGGTGCCTTACCTCTGCACACCCAGGACATGAACAGGACACAGGTAACACAGCTACAGTGGGAGGAAAGCTCACTGCAGGCTTCCACGTCTATGGAGGCATCACACGGGAGCAAATATAACCCAGATCTACCACACATTGGGAAGAGATGTGAATGGCAAGCGGTCATGGCAGGAATAAAACAATAGGACAATGTGAGCTCTAGGGCTCCTCTGTCTACTGGTCCTCTAGTATGATAAGACCTGCTGTCAGAAAGAGCAAGTTTCCTCACTGGTTGTCAAGACAAGAGCAGCAGCAAAGCTTTGAGGGGACTTGGGATGCTAAAGCCACCCTCTCTCAGGGTAGTCTGCCCAGAGAGGGTAGGATACCTTGGTGGGGTGGGAAATGCTGCCAATTCAGCTCTGCTCACCAGCAATAACCTGTTTTGTGGTGTTTATGGGGTGGTTTTTTTGAGAAGAAAAGAAGTTTACTTACGTGGAAGTCTTCATGAGAGATCTTTATGGCATAAGGCATGTTGGGCTCTTCTTTGGGCTCCACGACGCAGCCTCCCAAGGGTATGACACCCTGGAGATAAACCAGAGTGCTCCCATCAGTCATCAAAATCAAGTATAGCCATTAACTAACCAGGAGCTGAACTTTCACCCTTCTTCACTTGTGGGCCCCTGCCCTGCCTTGCCTAACCCAAGAGGGACAATACACACAGCTCCTGAAAATCACAGGGACTCCCACCACCCTCAGGAGACCTCCAAGTAGTATCTGAACAGGGGTAAAGATGGCTCCCCTGCATATGGCTGGAGGGAAGGCTGCTAGGTAGGACATGGAAGTGAGAGCTCTTATCAAGGAGGAGGTAATTGCCCGGCAAGGTCAGACATTGCAGATTCACAACGTGATCCCATGAGAGAAGCTGTGCATCTGTTACAGTCACCACCAGTAGGTCAACACCCCACACATGCTGTATGGGGATGGATGGGTGCCCTCCTGCCCCTAACCGGGCTGGGTGAAATCTACACTCTGGGAGCACATGTGCTTCATCAGCCTCCAGAGACTGCAGAGGAAAAAGCAGACTCAGACCACACAGCTTTCTGATAGAGGCTGCTGCTCATGGCTGAGGGGTTAGCAGGGGATGGATGTGACTGCTTATGAGTGCAAGTACAAGTTAGGAGCAAGCAGCAACCAAAACTGTTAGACCCACCACTGGCTTTGCCAACAGCATTCTCATATCCACAAGTATGTGAATACATATACTATTCAGTAAGAAAAACATCAAAGTCGTGCTGAATCATTGAGGAACCTAACGAGGTACTGACACGATTCTTGCATTTTGGGGGGCTTCTCTGGATCTGACTTACCTCTTCACTTGCTGGGCCTGTGGAGGGGGAGGAAGCTACAAAGAGAATAACCCCCCTTCCCCAGGCAAACGCTGCTCACCTTGGGGTGGATATTGAAGTATTTATTGCTTTCAAAACTCTTCTTCTCACTCTCAGCGTAGTAGAGCAGGAAACTTTCCTTAATGATGAAGAACCTTTAAGGCAGAGAAAGGAAATAAACTCTGCTAGAACAGTGATCATGGTTCCACAGCACAAGAAAATCACCACGTATCTAACGTTGCTTTCTGAGCAGAAGAGTTTACTGTTCCCACCTATGCCTAAGGTGAGGTGCCTTACTTGGGCTTGTAGCCAAGAGCTAGTGCTTAACACTAAGTGCCAAGCTCAAGTGCTTTGTGCTTGCAGTTTGCCACAGCATGCACACAGAACTGTTTATTCACAGGGGAATGGGATGGAGGTCTGTGTCCAAGACAAAAGCACAGCCAAAACCTTTTGGCATCTTGACCTGTGCACGTTTTATCTAGCCCATGTGTTGCATTCAACCTCTTGAAAGAAAACTGCTTCTTTTTTTAAGGGTCTCTCTCACATGGGCTAAGAGCAATGAAAAGCTTATTATTTCAATCTATTCCCTGCCACCCTCTTCCCTCCCATTCTGCATAAGCCAGAAGGGAAGTCTTTCCACTGTAACTCTGAGTCTATGGCAGGGAGAGTCACCGATCTGCATCATCAGGTGACTCAAGGCAAAAGATGAGCCACAAGAGTACTCAGGAGGAGGAATAAATTTTAGAGCTATTTTAATCAGAGCTCCTGGCAAAGTCTACCCTCATTGACCTTTGGAAATACAAAGTACATCGAATTTTGTTTTTCCTTCACACACATCACATTTTAATGTGCCTTGTTCTGCTCAGCCTTACGTATGCTCTGAGGAACACTCTGTAGTAGCCACAAAAGATCACAGCTTCTGTAAACCAAGTCGTTAATTTGCTGGAGTGTGTCCTCAAAATCGTGATTAAAGGAGTGCCACTTTCAGCTTATTTGCATGTCCAAAATGCCCCAGGGAGAGTCCCTCTTCTCTTTGAAAACTGAGGTTACATTTACCCTGCAGGCAGTGGTAGAGGGGGGAGATACCTGATTTAGCTTCAATTTGGTCTAAATCTCTGCAGCTCTCAAAAATGCTGAAGAACAGCTGAAAAAAATGGGGACAAGTTTAGTACAGAAGTTTCAAAAGATTAACTGACAAAGGAAACGTGTTGCACTGCTCTGTGTTTTCTAATATGAGAAAAGAGGGATTTGGAAAGAAAGCGAAAGGCAATAAGCTGAAAATTAATACAGAATGTCTTTTTACACTGCACAAAGCACTGCTGTGTAAATCGCTTTCATGTGGTCCTGAGGACAAGAGCTCATGAGGAATCTGGAAAGGATGAAGCATTTCTGTGAACAATGAGAACAGCCCCAAGAAAACCTCCTGCTTCTGGGCAGAAAGCCTCCACTGGATGGGATGTGGAAAAGACTTCTCCGGGCAGCACTAAAGCCCCTGTTAGTGATGGGCTAGTGGGCAAGAGGTCTGATCCACAAGAGCAATTCTAATACCTCCACATGCCCATCCCACCCCAGTCCTCTCTGGAAGCAGAGGACCTGTGAGATGGAGCCAAGCGCTCTCTCCAGGACAAATGAGCACAGCAATTTAGTACCAGTTTAGTTCCTAAAGCTAAAGAAAGAAGTGGAAGCTGGCGGAAAATTATAATACCAAAATAATATATATAATTATAATATAATTCATTATTAATAGCAGTTCTCATTATTACACTGAGGGGAAAGCTTTACCACTTCCACCAGCTCCCACCTTTTGCTCTTCTGCCATGGCTCTGGCATAGGTGAAACTGCCAAATGCCATGGAAATATGAGCCATGAGCTCACAGGGGAGCCAAAAGAACAACATGAAGCTTCTGAATGCCTGCAGAAAGCTCAAGGCTCTCAAGCTCTGGACCTATTGTGTCCTTGCTCCAAAACATTTAAGAGTGGCAGTGATTGAACTTGTGCATCGTACCCAGAAATGTTCAGAATGTACAAACACCAACAACAATTATTGTGCCCCAGGTTTTTTCTTCTCCTTGCCTACTTATCTATACGTGTTCACGTTGACATCAGAGGTGGGGAGAAACCACCAGCTTACTTTCTCAGCAGGACACACTGTCTTCCCATTTGCTACTCCAAAAACATCATGGTTGACTGCCTAATCTCACCTCTTGCTCCTGACCACAACCTGGCAAAATCTCTCTAAACAGAACAGCATAACTCTGTGCTAAAATCACCCTTTTGCACTGAGCTCATTTAGTTGGCAGAGGACTGAAAAAGTGCTCATTCACAGTGCAGCGTGTACAGCAAGTTACCTGACTAGGTAACTGGTAAGAGCACTTACTATCCACCTTTCACTCAGGGAACATCTCCCTTCCAGCCCAAGCTCATCTGCCACTGCACCTCCCAGAGGAGCTGCCTGTAATGTCACCTCAGCTGGGAAAGCAACATGACCCTACCTGCAGCGGCTGTCCCTACTCTCCCTGTAAGGGGTGCCTAAGATGGACAGGGAGATGGACTGCCCAGGGAGCACTACTTTCTTTCCCTGTGATGGAAATCTCCATGCTAAATCCCTTGCCACTGTCACAGAGCAGGGACCAGAACAGTTTCTTCAAGCCAGTAAGCAGGGTCAGGAAGGAGCATCCCAGAGAAGGTGGGGGCTGAACTGATCACACAACTTTGAGGCACCCGCCTCAAAGCAGATGCATCAGGCACATCTCTGTGGGACACAGTGCTGAGAGGGTGCACTCATCAAGGTCTCACCTCAGTGTGAAACAAAGATTGATATTGTCACACATATTTGCCTTCATGGCAAAGGCAGCCATGACCCCTGCAGCAGGCTCAGAGCTGACCCTGGCCAAGGCAGATATCAGAGAGACCTCCACAGAGCAGGCAGGTTTCTGGTTCCTCCTGTCCGCATCGCTTGTGCGAGCAGCAGAAGCCTTCCTGTTTCATTTTTCTTCACACCTCTGATCATTAACTCCATTAAAAAGTTTTCTTATGAGTAGCTGCATCTTCACTTTATGTTTCTAGTGCTCAGGTCAATGAGAACTTGATTTTTAGAGGCACATGTTACCTCATCAGCATAATAAATACAGAAATAACACATTTTAAGATCAATTCTGCCTGGCCTGTGCTTAGTTCAGTGGATCAGAGTGAATCAGATACTGTGGCTATAAATACAAAACTAAAGTATAAAAATCAACACACCACATGAAATGGAGGAAGTCTGTTGGTCACTTTCAATAGTCTTTTCAGGCTGAACAACCTTGACAAACATTTGCAAGACATAAAGATCTTTAACTATGTGTGATTTCTAATCTGTTAACCCCAGTTAAAGCCAGGCTTTAGTCTGTTGCATATTTTTTGTCTACTCAGTGCTCCCGATATCCCCATAGTATGCTCCAGTGGAAAACCAAAACAAAACCAAGAGTAAAGCCTAGCACAGATCTCTGGGAATTGATCTCACAGATTAATGAGCTTTTAGATCCCCGATCTTACAGACATGGAGAGAATCTGTGGGAATTTGGAATGAAAATGTACAAACTAAGAGTTAAAAATATAACAACAACAAACTCCACAGCAAATAACGAAAGAAAAAACACTGAAAAACTGGCTAACTGATGAACAGTACCTGTTTATGCTCAGAACTTATTCCCTCATCTATCCCTACCGGGAAGGCAACACCCAAGCAACCAAGATCACTACTTTGACTTTCAGGACAACGTCTACCTACAACAATACAAGGAAATTGATGCAGCATGATGAAAAGAGGGATGAAGTGACAGAGTGAAGGAGGAAGAGGTACAAGACTCAAGGGCAAGTTGAAGACTGAAGCAGCAGCCAGGTGAGTAACAGCAGAAAGGGAAGATGGCCAAGGGCAAATTGGGAGATGCAGCCAGTTAAGACAGGAGACACTGGACACACTTGAATTAGGCACAGATGCGCCAGCAGAATTAAAGGGAGTACTGGAGAGACAGGGGAAGCTTTCTGAATACAAGCAAGGAACCAAAAAAAGATATTTAAAAGCAAAGCAGCAAAAAGCCTAGAGAGCAGCAACGAAGGTGGGAAGACCTGGTGCACACACTCCACATGCAGCTCAAGCGATAACAGAAGCCATTCATGCATGGTCTATTTCTTTGGGTCACCCGTCTCCTGTCGCTAGATCCTGCACTAAGAAACCACTGAAACCACAGTGTAATGAAACTGAAATCAGCAGAGGAGCAGTAACAGTCATGAGTCACTTGGATCTATAGCCAGAGGCGTGATCTGCCAGGATTAGGCAAAACAACTCCACGGTGGACAAGTAGAGATACCTGATCTCTGGGGACGAAGTGCTTGCTTTGTGTCACAGAGGACTAACAAGATTAATTAGATAGTCTCCCCGTAAAAGTGTTTGAAGTGACAATGGCCCGAGTTCAGTATTTACACTATAAAACTGCAGCAGCCTCACTGGTCCTTCCTTCCAATGGTGGTTTTCCAGGCACCGGTCCAGGAGCACAGGCAGCGAATCCCAGTTACTAGAACAGCCCAGTTCTCTCTCCCTAGGGACAGCTCAGGGAAACGATGGGCAAATGATCTTTATCGGCATGTCAGCTCAGAAACCTCAGTACCTGTCCCTCATTGTTTCTCTCCTGACAGCTCCAGCCTTTCCTGTCTGCCTCCTGGCGCCTGGCAGCTGGAGAGGCCCGCAGTCAGGCAAGGAGCGGGAAGAGGTGGATGCTTCCTGACAGCAACCAGCCAAGTGGGAAGCGGAGAAGGGTAAGCGGGAAGCTTGACTCGGAGCACCGCTGCCTCAGCAGCTCCTGCTCCCCATGTGCTGCTCATGCACACACTGCTCTGCAGCCATGTGCTTTCTAGGGTTTTTTTTCCTGAGCAGGAAACAGTCCAAAACAGTTACCCTTTCCAACTGTCCTGTGACCACATCTAGCGACTGTTGGTAACCAGTCTGCTGGAAAACAAGGTTATGTGCCTGCTTTGCAGTGCCACAGCCAGGACTGGGAACAGAGAAGATGAGATTTCTCTCAGCTGTGCTGCATTTCCCCCCTTCCAGCAGTAACCTGGCATCTCTGATGGGTTTACTCAGATGTATCAGCATATTTTGTAGTACTTTTTCTCCTTTCAATTCCTGATACCCCACCTTGCTTTTTTGACTCTGACCACTGGGCAGATGCCTTCCTGGAGCTGTTCCCCTTAGCTCCAGAGTCTCACACCTGAATGGTGACAGTCAGCTTAGAACCTGACATTCCTATACAGAGCTGGGGTTATTCACAGCAGAGAAGGATGTGTCACTTCCTACCTACAAAAGTACAGCGCCCTGTTCATGCAACATCCAGAGCAGGCTTGTACCTTGTGCATTTAATTCTATGCCAGGCTGATGCCAGTACCAGTGAGACTTTTGTATTTGAACTGACTAAACTGCTTGTTATAAACTCAAAGGAAGAATGGAATGCAGTTGGTGGAAAGAGTAGAACCATAAATCAAGGGCCAAGAATATGCAGCGACCCAAGCTTTGACTGATCAAAGCTGCAAAATCCCCAGACCTGGGATTTCGATTTCCAAAGCACTGGATACCATGCCTGGACTTTTTTCCTTGATCCATTATCCAGTTAAGCTCCATCTTTCCCTTAAACACTCACTTTTGTTTCTCTGTGTCTCCAACAGCACTGCTGCTACAGCCAAATGAATGGGAACAAGCAGTATCATGCATCTCAACAGCCACCTCTTCATGGCTGATGGCCTCATGTGGTCAATCCTCCTGTTACATGCTGGTTTATTTCCCATAGCTTGGAAAGACTTTCCTTAGAACAAGGAGTAGTTCTATTGTTCAGTCCAAGATGTCAGGACAAAATCTACATTGCTCAGAGATCAGATCCTCAACTGCATCTAGAAATAGTCAATTTTTCTCTCTTAATTTAACTGGAATGGGAAGCTTCTCCTTTTCATGCAACAACGCACTGACCAGCTGTGTCTTGCTGGGCATGGAAGGGGTAGGCCGGGGAATGGATGAATTGCTCCTTATTCTCCTTCACAAACAACTTATAATAACATATAAGGTTTTTACTGCAAAGAAGATCTCTCCTGTGGTAAAAAAACCCAACCTTATTGCTCCTCCTGTTCCAGTGGTTTTACTTCAGAAACCCGACAGACCCCCTGTGTTCATCTCCCACAGACCCATCTCTGGTCTCCAGGACTCCCAGCTGCTGTGCTTGCAGCTGACCATCCACATCACCCTTGCCCCATGGCCTCTTCCCACCTGCTAGCACTAAAATATTTACCACTTGACGAAGATGGGGGTGACTTCTAGGAATAGAACAGCACTAAATAAGTAATGACAGAGAGAGCAGACACGAGCCATTTGCCTGCAAGAAATTTTTATTAGGAAGAAGAAAGCCTTTTAAGAATATCTCCTCCCTAGCAAATTACCTTCTCCTCCTTTAGTCTGTCCACTTGTTTTCCATAACCCAGCCACATTAGCTTCCAGGCATAATTCATTTAAATACCAATGTTTGGGAGCTGAGTAGGGAGCACAAATTCTCTCTGGGGTGAAAAAGGCCACTGTGGGGGGAAGTACAGAATAAAACCTGCACCGAGTCAAAGGCGGCTACAAACACAAAACTGCTTCCCAAACAGCATTTGACTATTTTTCAGGCTATGCCATCTTCACAGGTTCAGACTGGACAGCCCTGTTGTTACTACACAGAGCAAAACTGGGAAAGCTGGAGCTAGAAATGGTTGATGTGTTCACTATGCAGCCTGCAGCAAAAAGGTACCCACCAAAGGTAAGTACTAGAGGCAGCCAACAGACATTGCTCATGTGCAGGTTCATTTATTCTTCAAAAAAGCCTTGAGACACTCTTTACTACCAAGACTACAAAACCACCTTTCAGGTCCAGAAGTAGCTCAGGCTTCCTGTGCTGTCATTTGTTAATGACTCATTTGTGCCTTTCCCCAGTGGAAAGGTGAGGAGGGGGCAAAACACCATTACTTTGCTTTTGTTACAGCCTTTTTCATCTGCGTATATCAAACTGCTGAAGGTGGGTAAGTACTGCTATCCTTGTTTAATAGGTCATGACAACAATCCTGGGTCACAAAACTCATCTCTGGCAGTAGAATCGTGAAAACGGAAGTTCTTGGCTGCTAGTCTTTTAACTGAATCATTTGCCAATGATGTCTACCAGCAGTGACATTAATCTGCCATCGAGGAATGCTGGAAGGCTTAATCCATTGGATCGTGTACTTCCAGAAAGAGCTGTACCATGTTTCTGTGTGAGTACCATCCATAAACAGTCATCTCTCACCTTTTGATAGCCAATGGAAAACTCTCCCATGAGATTCAGTGATTTGAACAAACTACATCAACTATAACCTCAAAGTGACCCATCATTTCAACATTACAGAACATACCTCCATCCTCAGTAAAAGGTTATAGCAAATGCTTTCCAGCTCCAAACCTCCTGACTCTGAGAGACAACACGCAGCAGCTTACAACTCCCTAACACCAGATGGGAGAGAATTTGGAGCCACCTTCTCTGCAGGGAAGTCAGTCTGCTTTTGCTGTTCCAAGCATGCCATCACCATCAGACAGCACAGCAACACTGACACTGGTCCACAAGCCCCAGCAGACTGTACACATGTACATACAGTCCCACATGCACTGTCAGTTCAACCTAGCCATCTCACACCCAAAGGACTTAAAGAGGTTTAACAAGTGCTAGTGAAAAAAGCCAAGCAGTTTGTGGGCAAAATACATGAGCTGACCCTTTTCCTCACTAAACGATCATAAGTATCTGGAGGAGGAAGCTAGTCCCTATTCCCACCCCAAGGTGCATGCAGCACAGGGTCTGGGCAGATAAAGAAAAGCACAATCAGGTGCCGCGTGTGAAAAGCATCAGAAAAGCAGGGAAGCTATGCCCAAAGTTTCACCCTCAGTCTCTGCCTGGCTAGTTGCACTTGAAGAGCCAGGCACTCAGGCTCTAACTTACCGCAGTGCCCTTAGGCTTTGTTTTTCACCTGAGCATCCCTCAGCAACTGTGGCTTACCTCCTGGACCATTTGGCTGACTGCCTCCCAAAGGGTCTCTTCCAGAGCACACCATAAAGCTGTACTTTGGTGCTGATGTCCAGAGCATCGGAATCTGCCTGCTCCATGGATGGAGAAGGGGATACAGAACTGGATTTTGAAGCAAACATCATAGATGGATCTGATTCTAACTCTCCCCCTCTGCGTGGCAGCTCAGGGAATCCGATTAAATGCAGTGAACCAGAAGGACGTAACCAGCCACTCCAAGCGGCAGACAGAGAGACCGGGCTATGGTTTGAATCAATAACTTGACTGCTCAGCACTCAGTCAGTAAATCTCCCCCTGATGCACAGATGATGAGAGTTCCCTCATTGTGTATTACTTCCTGATGCATTGCAGACAGCACACCTCCCAGCCCAAGGAAAAAAAAATGAGCGAAGAGCCAGAGATCAGGAACACAGAGAAGCAGAGAGAGCTCAGAGAGAAAGCTCCTAGCAATAACATAAAGCAAAATACCTCTGCACTAGAGCCAGCTTGGAAGGTTATTTCACTTGACATTGCAGCATCCCAGGCAGAAATCAGGGCGAGCTGGAAGTTTTACTGTCAGGCATCTCTTACCCTGACATGTACCCCAAAATCTTGCTCTGGGAGAAAGGTTCTTCTCATTTGTCCCAAGGAAAAGGGGAGCAGACAGGGTGGGAGCAATAATTTCTATCAGATTCCCTCTGCCATCGGGAGGCTCTTTCTGTACCAGCCTGGCACTGCCCATCACACACAGTTCACGTGGCTGCTGGGCTCAGCTGGGCAGTGTCCATGCTGCACGTCCTGCTCAGCCTTAAAGGGCCATTGCTGATCAAAGCTAGAACATAGAATTTTGCCTGCCTCCATGCCTTGTTACATCTTGGAGATGTGGCAAGCACAGCCTCTGCCCAGCTTCTTTGGTACAAGCTCCTTCTCAGCCATAGAAGAAGTACACAGGAATATGTCACACAGCTCACACAAGTCTCCATTCATCTGCTGTTTAGTATTCCCACTGCAAGCTTTTTATTCTGGTTCCTTAGGTCCTTGCTCCTCTCTTGAAACCATCCATCCCTGCAGAAATACAGTCCTCCAAAAGACCCCCTGTTTTTATTAATGCCCACAGGAAGATACATTAGCATCAGATTGTTCTTTCCTGCACCCTGCCTTCCATCCATGATTAGGATATGGGGAAAAACTGCCTGCATTGTACCTGGTAAAGCATCTGGAGTTTTGGGGTATAACCAATAAAGACACATGCTGTGAAGCATCTGCTTGTGTTTTAACCTGTGCCATCCTACATGTATTGATTTTGATGCTGTACTTGCTAACTGTCAGCTCTTCCCAATGCAGTTATTCAGAAGCAACACAGTGCAGTCACACAGTCCTTTCTTATTTCTAGAGATTAGAAGCCTGGGAACTTGCCACAGGCTAAATCACAGCACAGGACATAGGCTCACTTCATTTTGTATGGTCACAGGCGCTTGCAAAGCATCTTAAATTGAGGAAACGCAGACAGCCTGCCTCAAGCTCACAGGCTGCATTTGGTATTAGAGAGATTATAGATGCAGGTCCCTGATTAAAGTCACTATTGATCACTAGATTGGAGAGTCAACAAACTCAGCAGTTTGTTACTTAACTCTTACCCTGGCTTTGACTGGCCTTTGGTCCCAGATAGGGTATGTCCTGAGCAGCACCAAAGCCCATCTCAGAGTGACATTAAGGGAGAGGGTGAAGAGGGGAGAGCAGCAGATACTGCCTCCATCTCACCTGAGCCCCAACTTTTGAACACAATTGCAGAAGAGAAGCAGCATTAATGCTGTAGTAACTATTCAACATACTGCACTGAGAAGAAAATACTAACCATAACCAGGAGAGGGAATAGTTCCTTAGAATTATGTTGCACAAAGGATAACAAGGATCCTGGGCCCAAGAGTATCACCTTAATATATAAATGTGCAGTGAAAAATCACAGAGCTCCTGTATAGGACGATCCAGTGCCCCTGTCATTGTAGTGCATCAGTGATTCAAAGATCTGATTGCAGTGACCTGCAGTGAGAAAAGGCAGATTCTTTTCTTTGATTCTTTACTTCTTTTTATCCTGTGCAGACCAAGAGAAAAGAGAGGTCTTTATCTCATTATTTTTTTTAATGTTCAAAGGTATTGTTTCCTCTGGAGACCTCTAGGACAAGCAAGGAACTGTGCTTTCACAGCAAATTCTTCAGAATGGGCAGCTCCAGGGGAGGGAAAGAGCAACTCAATTCTGTTGAGTGACCAAGAGTTAACCATAGCAGGAGCCAGCAATTTTAGGGCAATAAGCAGCTGTGGGGTGAATTTTGTAACTGGACAAAGTAATTTGTAATAACAGTGGTTATGTTAACATTTCCTTTATGTGTGTAGTAGTCTAAATAAACCGGAAGCCTGTCTGAGGGAAAGAGCGGGAGAGCAGCACAGCAGGTCTAAGCAACTTGCCTCTCACATATAGAAGGTAACAGCATTAAGAGCCAGCTTAAAGGTTCTTCAATGTTACTTCTGCCAGATGCAAAACTTCCTTTAATGGCCAGGAATTTCAGGATCAAGAAAAGAGTGTCACAAATGCATCCAGGAGAAAAGGGTCCACCACAGGGTGGGTAGAGTTCCTTAGGAAAGCACAGGCAGACTTGGTGAAGCTCTGGTGAAACATAGCAGCCCAAAAGCACAAAGACATTTATACAGAGAAAATCAATTAGTATTTAATCTGGGATCTTATTTAACAAAAACAGAGGAGGAAGACCTGAGTATACAAGACCTTAGTAGGACAATCCTGTGTCACCGGTGCAAAAAGAAAAGTACAGTTGTGGTCTACATTAGAAGTGAAGGCAGACATAAACCCTTGTACCAGACTCACATGCAATCCCTTCTGTACAGTTCTGGCCAAACTGATTTCCAGGCCAAACTGATTTCCTGGCCCTGAAGAGGTGCAGAAAAGGACTCGAGGGATGACCACAAGTATAGCTAATCCATAGTATGGCAGGACACTAAAAGGATTTCACTTGTTTAAATGAGACCAAAGGAGAAAATCTGATTGCTGTCTAGTTTCAGGCATTCTTTCCCCTCTTAATTTATTGGTAAAGGTTGATGCTTCCAATAAAACAAATTGGCCTAAATTGGCCATGAATAAATGAGAAGCTGTGTAACCATCACAGGGAGAGGGTTGTGGAATTGCCTTGCAATGAGAGCAGCAGAGGAGAAAAGCCATTACTTGCTTGGATCTATTACATGCACAGCAACCTGAGGTGGCCAGACTTCCAAGTATACAGATTAAGCTCACCTGCTTTCTTTGAAACATTTTCTGTTCCAGAATAATAAAGATTTTACATGGATGTGTCATTCATGATGGCTTGTAGGGGAAGCAGAGCTGTGCATCCTGGAGAGAAAACGCTGGAGCTTTACTCAGAAAACCTTCCTGCAGAGAGACAGGTTGTACTGATACAGGAATTATTTTGCTAATGTGTTGTCCCTATTTTTCCTACACATCAGGCCAAAAAAATTTTGCTCAAAATAACCTTTGAAGCAGCAAGCAGTACAAGGTAGTGCAGGAGTAACGCTCCATCATCACAGGCCACCCACCAGCTGGAAGATACCGCCTTTCAGTTTAAGCATACACATATTGCTAACTGCAGCTGAGGAGAAGGCATGTATTTGTGGGGTTTTCTTTAAGTGAAAAGTTATACCTTTATGTTCTGGGCAGCCTTACAGTAGTACTTTATAGTAGAACAATGTGTAGAAATAAAAAGAACTTCCAGCTCAGGTTTCGGTTATGTGAAGATAAAATATCATACGTACCTATAAAAATGATGCTCCAGCTTCCCAGATGTACAGTTGTGTGCGGATGCTATTTTAAATAGAACTAAGGCAACCACCATCAATCCATGTCTAGTGTGATAGATTGACAGTTTCTTTTACATATGATTAAATTAGCTCAGTATCAGATGGGAATTCAGAGCTGACCTGCAGAGCTCAAAGAAAAGTTATTCAGCAAACAGGCATTAAAGTGCCTTTGTGGATATATAACCCCATCTGACATCATCCCTTGGTAGGAATCACATGCTCCTAGCATCTCATTCCAGACAAAGCCCTCCACCAGCCCCCAGACCTTCATATCCATGCAGATCCACACTGGATGGTCCATGAGTCATGTTAATCAAACTATGGCTGTGGATATAGCACCTCCTCAGGAGACTTACAGGAAGACAGAAAATAAAATGTCAGTTTACTGAAGCAAAAGGATTTGATAGCAGGCAGCCAGCCCGTAGCCTTGTGGACAGTAAACACTCAGAGCCTGGCTTTTGGGGGTTGGTTTGATCAGGAGCTGACACCACAGCCAATGATCATTTCTCTCAGCATATAAAGGAGATGATTTTTGGGAGAAGGGGAGTTAATACTACTAAGAGCTCTCTTCTGGAACAAGACTCATTCATTATTCATTCTGGGGTTTTGCTGATGGTGGTTTGGGCTTTTTTGTTGTTTGTTTTTTTGGGGGGGGTGTTTCTTTGGTTTGTTTTGGGGATGGTTTTTTGTAGGGGTTTTGTTTGGTTGGGGTTTTTGTTTTGTTTTTTTAAGGTTTCTCCTCAACAGCCATTTTTAGGGACTTTAGAATACACCAGAGTGGTCAGAATACACCAGAGTGATCAGCTACGTTTGAAAAAGCTTCCCCCAGAAGCTAGCCCATAGGCTTCCAGCAGTTCCCCCTCATCATGCCTAAATGACATGAAGTGATCACATGGCTTACACAAATGCTGGAATAGTGAAATAGGCTATTTCCAACCAACAGCCTCTTCAAGAGCAGTAAATAAATACAGCTCTACCTGTTTGCTTTGTTTCTGTCTTCAGATTCTGAACCCACCAGCACGTGCTCCCTTCCCTTCCTGCGTGTCCATGGTGACTGGTGCCCAATCAGCCACACTGCTCCTGAGGCTGTGGTGGGCACAGCAGCCATGGGAGCACTCCTCCTCACTGAGAGCGGCTGAATCTCCATGCACAGGGATGGGGAAGAACAAACCTTTCCCCAAAGAGGTTTTATAACAATGCTCAGAGCTGCTTAGCATGCACACCAGCTGCATTTCTGCCAACCTTTCCTAGAGTATTTCATTTTACCTGTGCCTTACCTGCTTGCAATCAACATTATTTAGCCTTATCTCAAAGGTGACAGCAGAGTTACCAAGGACATGGTTTGACTAGGTGACACAGCTCAGCAGTGATGGCTTAGCCAGCTCTGCTGGCAGCCTCCTGCACAGAAAACACTGAAGTCAAGTCAATGACACACACGTGAGTAGCACAGGCTACATAAATGCCAGTGCAGCACTTTTGAAGGATTTCCTTACCCTTTGCACCCTGTGGTACCATGACACAAGATCTAGCAAGTAGATCAGAGACCAGGTTTAGAGCAGTTATTCTGGGGGACGGCGCAATGTTTCAAGGTGCAACTGCTTACTCAGTTCTATTAATTCTGAGCACAGAAGTGCTGCCTTTGTAACAAGGGCACGGAAGCAGAGTTCGGTACACTGGGGCTTAATGTCCAGCCTGGCAATGTCCCTACCCAACTGAAGTATATACCTTGATTTCTCTCACCCACCATTCCTCACCTCTGACACTGGCACTAAATCCAGAACACCACAGGAATACCCATATGCATGCAGTAGCTTGGGTACGGTGGCCAGCCAAAAAAAATCCTGCAAAAAGAAGAATTTGTTAGTTTCCTTGGCAGAATAATGCAGTGGGAAAACATAATACCTCTGCATATTAACACAGGTAAACAACTGGAGCACCATCAACATTTTTAAGATCTGACATAACAGTCCAGCAAGAAGTAAATGAGAGCCAGGGCTACTGTCTGCCCACTGGAGATACACTCCTTAGCTGGTTTAACTAGGTCTTCATTCAGTAGTGGAAGCTGCAGGGACCAAGTCATGTTCATGTGAAGCATCTGCACAGAGCAGATACCAGGAGCAGAGCTTCATTCAAGACCAGCGGTCCCTCAGTTTCTCTGTCAAAACAGAAACAGAACACGGGTTACCCATTGCAGTCATAAAACATGACTTGTTTTACTTCGAGCTTCACCCTCTGGAGGCAAGCAAGAAAAGCTTTGACTAAGAGGTACAGTAAGGCAAGGTGTACGAGACTAGCAAGGCTTCTAAGCAGTGTTTTTGCAATCCTCTTCAGCCCAGTATAACCACAAGTATCTAATTTAACACGTTTCTTCAGACAGCAGAAGCCCATTAACTTCCGCAGACTCCAACATAAATGTGATCATATAATTACCAGCATTTTCCGCTTTCTAAGAATTTCACCTCTGCTTTTAGACTTTCTAAATACTGTGTACCTTTGGCGTCAGTCAACATAATACAGCTTACTTTGAATTAGCTCTACAAGCTTCCTGAATGAGGCATTTTTCCATCCATTTTTTCCATCCACGGTAAAGGTTTGTTAATCTCTAGACATCTCAGACAAGAGGGAGAAGTGCTGTGATAAGGAGGGTGGAATGTTGTGCAATTCTGCCTGCAGGGATACTTGGGTAAGGCTTGCAGTAGAAGAATGGCTTAATTTGTAAGCTAGAACAATAGATGACAGCTCATCCTCTTGCAGCTGTGCTCATCCCTAATGAGTTTGATAAAAATGCTGATGTTTTTTTTTCCTTAACAAATGAAGGAACACTCCACAGCCATCACCACAACTCCTTGCTCTTCAGGTTTTTAGTGGTAACTTTTGTAACATAAATGCACTGAAATCACTTCCTCACATATCCAAAAGGATTTACAACAGATTACAGTGGTTAAGTCTCCAGTTACTGAGGTGACACTTTTATTAAATACATTGAAAAAAATGTTAATATAAAGCATAATGCTTCATCATGAGAGCTGAATTTTACTTGCCTAAAAACCAAGAGCCTGTCTGGGAAAATACCACCTTCCCATCCTTGCGTTCTTGCATCTGCCTGTTCTACCTATAATAGCAACACTCATTTGTTTCAGTTCTCCTACTGACTTTACATTAATTGCATTCTCTTGAGATTAAGAAAGCATAGAGAAATATTATACTTTTTCCTAATGAGAAAAATAAAAAGTAACCTATTAGCTGAGAAGGCTGCTTAGCACTTGAGTGAAGTAGCTAAAACATTGTGTGACACTGCAGACCTTAAAAAGCCTGAAATGTCCTACATTAATCTTTTCTTTCCAACCAAATAAAGAACCCTACAACTGTCCCACGTTTTCGCTCAGATAACAGAATTAATTTCCAAACCTCTCCTTATATGCCCTGCCTGAGCACCTCTTTGAAATCACTACTAAAATTTCATTTCCAACTATTCTTTGGAATTCAAAGTTATGTCTTAGGCAAATAAAACCCTTCCAGAGAAACTGAGGAGCCTGAGAAGACAATTGTTCTTCACAGCAAGAACACAGTCCACTTTCAGTTACAATGACTACCACAACGAGCATTAGAGAGAACATTTAGGTAACTATGGCTTAACAAAGGCGTTCATTTCATTGTGTACCACAGGAAGAAGGTAAGCTGCCTTACAGGAAAAACTGTCGATAGTAAAGGGTGAGAGCAGCTCTGGAGAGCTGTGAACAGGTAACCAGTAGGATTGCAGGGCAGACAAAAGGAAAGCTGAGATGTGATTCAGTGCCTGAAAAGAGCAGAAAGATGGATGGGAAAAATAAAAAACAAACCACCAAAACCACACAGAATAGGAGCATGAAAGATTTTACCAGCAGTTTTGCCCCTTAACATAAGGACAAGACACAGGCTAAGGTTTTCTTCATATCTTTGCATGCATATTTCCCATACAGGAAAAGCTACTTTGTCACAAAGTTTCCAAAAAGAATGGAGGGCCATAGTGTTTGCATTTTGGGCTTGGTGCTGACAAGGTTTTTTTCACTTTGTACTGAGCTCTCAATTTTCTTTAGCCCATGGTGCCCTTCAGCTTTTTAACAGTGGCCTGAAGCAACCTTGAGCCGGTCATCTCATCCTGGCCCTCTGAAGAGGTCTCTGCCTTGCAAGCTTCAGAGATCTCCCTGGGGAGTGGGATGGAGGAAGAGGTAGCTCCAGGGCAATGCCAGTTCCGAAACACTGTGGGAGACAGAAGCTGTCAAATGCTGCTCTCAAGTGGAGCTGTCAAATTATTTCTGTATTTATAACTGTAAACCCATTCATACCCACGTCCAAATCAACCTGCTAGACTGCCTCCCAACATCTCCCAGCAGTTTCACACTTCAGGCTTCCAGGAGACACTCAGATGTTGTGAAGTAGAAAACGCTTAAACAAAATGTACTGCCTGCATTGCACACACCCCATTGAAGATTGTCACTGTTCTGTGATGGAGCTGTCACAAAACCCCATGCAATAAATGACAAGCCAACTCCAAAGCACTGCACCTAGTAAAAATTTAATATAATAAAACAAATTGAAAATGGCAACAATATTTTAACCGTTCACAATTAAAGTGGAAAAATCATAAGGCAGCCATTCATGGAATGATTTCGTGTACAAATGGTTCTGAAAAAGAGATATTAAAATCACAGTTCCATACATGGAGTCAGGTAAACAGCTATGACCAAGCAGTGTTTTCCCCTAGAAAGCCAGGGCTGCTAAGGGATGTAATAAAAGGACAGTAAGAAAAAAAAACAACTTTATTTTTAAAAGAGGTGAACAGGAATCTGAAATTCATCATACAGCAACCATTCCTTCCCCCACCACCCCCAAAAGAATATAAATACACTTCCTTTCTCTTCTTCCCAAGTCCCAGCACAGAATGGGAAGGGAGTGGGAGCAGCAGCACCATTTATTCCACAGCATCTCTCTCATTCTGCATACAGCTGATATCACAAGGACACACCTGCTACCACCAAAAGCTCCTTGAAGGCTCTGAACTAGTTCCTGAAAAACACAGTTTTCCTGGGTCTCTTGGATAGCATCAGCCTTTTACACAATCCACCTGGAAACAGTTACTTGAAGTCAACAGTGGGTTCTCTGTTTAACACCCAATCATTTGACATGCCACAACTATGAAGAATTCCTATCATGGTGTGACAGCTCTGCCACCCTCACTTAAGTTAATGTCAGTGCAGCTTCTGCATCTGTCATCGGGTGCTGAAAGAGTATATTTCCCTTCTTTATGTAAGGAACAATAGAAGAATTAGAACAGTAAGGAAAGTAGCTGAACACAACAGGATCAACAAACAGCTTCAATCTAATTCCTATCGTCAAATAAGAATCATTAACAGAAAATACAGCTGATGAGAAGATTATGGATTTCCTAGAGGAATTTACAGAAGGAAATGCACTTGGTTAAAGTGCTAGACTTGCTGCCACCTACCTCACAGCAGAGAACATGGGCAAAGATGGCTATTACAGGGAGTAAGAGGAATTTGTTCGGCCCAAGGTCCCCTGAGGAGTAGAAAATGATACCAGATGGCACTGACTACATGTAGCACCTGGATTTACTGTGACAGATGGGGAAAAAGGTAAAAACATAGCTATGATAAAATGGACCATTTTGTTTAACTCATTAAAATACTCTGCTTCAAGAAAATAATCTTCTATGTGGAACTAACAATTTGGAAAATTTTGATCATTTAGAATTTTACGTTCTCCTTATCACATAACCAAAAGCTTCCTTAGTCACTGCAGTTTCAGCTACAAAATTGAAAATAGTAGTTCAACACAGGGATAACAGAGTCAGCCAAAAGAAAATGCTATTGCTGCTTCTAAATGGGTAGGAAAAAATAGAAGTCTTCTACCACTTAACAAAGTTCCAAAATGAAAAGTATGCATTATCAGAATTTTTGTGCCAATTTTTAAGTGCCAATGTTTTAATTTAAAAACTCTCACCTGCTGCTGTAACTCAGCCTCTCTAGCTCATGAATCATTAAACTGAGTATAACCCTTTCTGGTGACTGCCCCACAAACTGGGAATAGGATCTGAGGGCCAGGGGAAAAGAAAGACAACAACACCTCTCAGCAGCAGCACCTCTGATGATTAATACTCCAGAAGTTACAGCAGAGTGAAAAGGCTGGCAGCCACATCCTCATCAGTGCACACTGATGCTTGTAAGAAGGTACTATCGACATTCTCCAACACTGGAGCAAAAAGGCATAAAATGAGACCTTACCTATACCTCCTGAAACTGTTGCTATTGTTATACATAGAGTGAGGCAGAAGTGGAACCCAGTCAGGATGCCATTTAACTAGTAGGGTGGAAGTGCAAGTGACAGATGATAATTTAAAGAAAAAAGCTTACTGTTTTACAAAACATACACATCTGGTGCCACACTACGCTATCTCCTGCTTCTGCTGCAGATCTTGCAAACTCTCCAGCTTCTGGAAACAGTTATGGGGAATGATTAAGCAAGTAAACCACTGAGATTATCAAGGAAGAATGTATTTAGGGGGAAATCAGGAAGAACACTGGGAACTCTGGTGAAAACATCACTATGCATCATTTTCATGTGTCAGTGACCTATATCACTGACCTTTTTTAACAGGTAACTTAGAAGTCGCATATGTATGTTGTAAAATAAAGTGCAGGAGAGGATCTCATCTATGCCACTAATTTTGCAGTGGCTTTTCAGAACTTCTGAAGGTCTAATGTCAAAAATGCCTGTTTAGGCCTGATACACTAATTCTATCTGAAAATACTGTCTCGTGGGAAAAAAATGATTTCTAAGAATTTTGCATTGATTCTATATAGTAAAACACACAAATGAACAAGCACTCCCAGACATCAATACTAGGTTCAATCCTGGGATACACCTGTATTGTTACAAAGCCAACAGACAAAGCAATCACTAGTCCAAGAACCAGGCCATAACCATTACTGAATTACTAGACAGAGGACAATGACAAAAATGTAAAGAAGTTCAAGTGGCACAATGGCCTGTGTAGTACACGCAATAAACAGCATGAGAAACAGACACTCATTCAGATGGAAACAAGAAGCACTTCAGTTAAGATATTTCAAGCCTTGAAAAATCCATTTGAAACAAAGAAAAAAAATAATTTGGCAACATTATCTTTAAAAAGTGCAGGCATTACAGTTTAAAAAGGGTATAGCATTAAAAAGTTTTCCCCTAAAGAAATAATTTTATATTGAGTCCGTCCATGTCAAGCTTTCCTGACTTTGCAATGCACCTCAGTTATTAGAGTATAATATATTTTGCATAAGAGAAATGATGTCTGACAAGAGAAGGCTGTGCCTTGGAAAGGAGGAATCTTCTATCACTCTTCTGCAGTGAGAGGCAACAGCAGTTGGCAATAAGTCCTCCAGTAGATTCACCAAAAGTAATGCTTTTTAAGTAAGAGGCAAATGCAGAGGTCCCAAAGGAAAAACAAGATGCCTAACCATTCCACTGGGAACCCACCAATTTGGGTATTTTGTTTGTGGGGGTTTTGTTCAGAACTGTTTTAGTTACACTTTATACTCTATATGTAACAAATATTAAGTTAAACATTTTATTTTGATAGCCTTAACACCTTTTATTTAATGATATAAATCCCTGCACCCTCACTGATTTCAGCAGTCCAGACTTCTGAAAATGGGTTAATACAGTTCTCTGGTCCCTCAACAGCTGTCTCCATCAGATTTCTACTCTTCAGAGCCCACAGCAGATCAGTTTCAATGGACACTACGGCTATCTCTCTTAACAGTAGCGGTAGTGTAATCATAGCACCCAATACTTAATTCCTACTAATGTTTTTGGTGCCTTTGCTTTCCGGACTTCGCAGAAGACCATCTCCCAAGAAACAGTGCCTTTTAAAAGTTTGTTAACAGTTGCATAAACAATCAAAACACTACTCTCCTTGCTTCTATTCTTTGTCTTACTGGAATTCATTGCAAAATTTGTTTGCACTTTCTTAACCAGCTGATTCCCTACTCTAATCCTACACTTTGATTATACCAATTCTTTCCTATCAGTGACACTTCTGTGACAATTGCAGTGCTGTCCAGAGTTCCAAGTGCAGCCCACTTTTGCCATACAATTAGTGACAAACATCACAAGGACCAGTTGCATTGTCAGGACAACACAGAACCAATGAGGGGAAACCCTCTTCATCATTAGTAAGACTTCAACCTCTCACACAGCAGCCATCCTTTGTTTTTGCTCTCAGCTGTGAAAGCTGAATTGCAGGATATTTTGGTGATAGAAATTTCATGATGAGTCGCTATGTTCTTCCCTGCTCACCTTTCTTAAACTCCAAATTCCATCTTCCCTGAGAATAGGGCCAGAAGTAACAATTAAAATAGCAAATGTCTTCAGAAAAGAAAGTTACACAGAATTACGTCCGGCTATCAAAGTACATTTTGCTACACTAAAAGCTTTCCCAGTATTCCTCATTTTGCAATTAACGTTCCCTCTGAACTCCATGAAGTGGATGGGATGGATGACGGGTAAGAGACAATGATAAAGGGAGCAGCCGACAGTTACTGCTCATGTCAGATCGAGGAGAACGGTGAAATTCGAGCATTTAGTGATGGTGTCCAATGGACAAAACTAGAGGAATAAGGCATCCTATTACTAGGGCTGCCACCTCCAGACGACTGAGTCCTTTTCCTCCATTTGATTCAGATTTGTGGCTATGAGCAATTCCTCCTACTTCTGGGAGGACATGAACTGTGGCAACATAAAGAAAAGTCCCAGCAGAAAACAGCATAGCAACTCCGGTGGCATTAACTTCTGAAAGGGCTTCTTTGCTGCTCTGAAATGGAAAAAGTCAGAAAGAACAAAAATAAAGATAAGCAAATATTCTTCCACCAATAATAAAATTCTGTAAGCAACCAGACACAGTAGGACTTGATTATCAACTCTTTTTCTCTCACAGAGACAAGGGTTCAATGTGTTACTTTGTGTCTTGCACCTTATATGTAACAACTAACATGACATGCTAAAGTTAGCATGAGAAAGGTACCTCTCATCCCAGCTAGTTCACTGCGGACATCTAGGAATCCTTAACAGAAGAAAAGAGTCGGTCTGTGCCAAATGAAACACCTTGTTTGAGCATCTCACAGCAACATAAAAGATGCCAAAAATGACAAAGTGCACTTAAAAAAAATGTTTATATTGCTAATCCACAAATTTTAGGAAGGACTCACAAGACTTTTTTTCCCCTACTTTTTCTAGAAAAAGAGTTCAGATCAGATAGTAGCCTTCAAATATCTGGTCCCCTGCTGGTCAGAGCAATATTTGCTAGATTTAAGTCCCAAAACATCACTCATTCAATTTTTCATTTGTATGTACAAGTGAACACCCAAATCTTTTGAGAATTTCCATGCAAACTTGATAAAGAAATGCATCTTCTGGATCAAAACTAAGTACCTCTTTAGGTTCATACTAGGATTAAGATCACAGGACACATCATTAAATGTAATGAAACGCAAACCCACTTGCATCAGTTTCAAAACGCTTCCTGAACAATTTCCAATTCAAATGTGGTGTTAGTCCTAAGGTTATTTTTCCAGACTGGAGATGCATCTTCTACTCTGGAGCTATAAAACCACTCTGACAGCCCTTATGCCTTATCAATTCTCTGTTTGCAAAATGCAAACCCAACTCCTAGTAAGTCTGTATTAAAAGAATACTCAAAGAGCATTCGTATTTCTATTTACAAACCCAACCCCTTCTGCTGTCTCCTGTAGTGTAGTATGAAATATAAGTCCTTCTCATCAAGTAAGGAGATTAGCCCAGATGATTTACTTAATCTTTCCTCTCATGCCTTGATTTTCATGAGATCACATTAGATTCCTTACAAGACAACACCATAGTCTGTCACCAGCATGGCCCACAGCAATTAAAAATACAGGAGAGTCATAGGAAATGCTATGAGAAACAGAAGCATTTAATTTGGATAGAGATAGAGAGTCATATGCAGTGGCCCACTTCACAGGCCATTTGTTGTATAAAGACAAGACTATGGTTTTAAGGAGTGCAAGAGGCAAAAAGGCTGTTCTAGCTGAGGATTCAACCTCTGACATAGTACAAAAAAGACTCTGAGCATACAGGAACAGTTCTGAGATGGTGGGAGAAACAAACAAATATTACTGGGGGCGTACAAGGATGCTGAAGGGGGACTCTTCATCAGGGACTGTGGCAACAGGACAAGAGGCAACAGGTTCAAACTTAAACTGGGGAAGTTCAGGTTAGATATAAGGAAGAAGATCTTTACTGTGAGGTTAGTGAGGCACTGCAATGGGTTGCCCAAAGAAGTGGTAAATGCTCCATCCCTGGCAATGTTCAAGGCCCGTTTGGGTGACATGGTCTAGTGTGAGGTGCCCCTGCCTATGGCAGGGTGGTTAGAACTAGATGATCTTAAAGTCCTTTCCAACCCAAGCCATTCTACAATTTTCTACCTGCACATTAAAATGCATGCAGCAACACTGAAAATTCCTCAGTTATTATCACCAGACAAAAGCTGGTATATGAATAAATTTTTCACAGTGGGGAGCAGCCAAAAAAAAGTCAGAAACCAGCCTTGTACAAAAAGCTATACAAAACTCTATAGGAGTTATGTCACTGGTTCTGATGGAAAGCATGGGTTATTTTTTATTTCATGCATTCATACTGCTACCTTTTCATCTACTTATTCTATCATCTCCATTCTGCTAAATTTTTCAAGCAGTTTGGAATAATGTTCTATGAAACTCATTGATTCCTTTCCCCAAACTCCACCACTAAGCTGCATTTTAGGTACAACAAATCACAGACCTACCTTGCTTAGCCCTAAGTATGTCACCATTGACATAACAGGTGCTGCTAACGCAAAGACCAGCAAGTGTTTTCTAATTCTATTCCGTTCCAGCCCAGCGTGCATCAGGAAGGAAACCAGGCCAAAGGCAGCTGGTGCCTGCAAAAAACAATATTCACTTGTAATACAATACTTTCTAAAACTCTCTGAAAACTGAAATAAAGTTGAAATATAAATTGCCACACTGAAGTGTACAGAATTGGAAGAATTCCAGGCAAAGCATTAGCATCTTGCAGTTAACCCAAATACAACAGTAGCCTGCAGACAGCCCTACCTTAATAACCATATGTAATGAAAACTCATGTTCTGGCTATCAGAGTACACGATTTGTGTAGTCATTAAAATATTAAAATGTTCACTCTTACTTGAGCCATTGCTGTAATCCCCAACTCTCCATAAACTTCTGTGATTTCTTTTTTTCATCCTGATACTACTGCACAACCTTAGATGGACAGTTTCTTTATCTACAGCAGAAAAAAATTCTACAAAATCCCCCAAGATAGATAACTGTCAGCCTTCACATGAACAAAGACTTAAGAGCTCTTTGACTAGTTCACCATTCAGTTTCATTTCTGTTCCCACTGGGAAGCAAACAAACATTTTCTTCTCCCTCTGCCGGCATTCAGTTTCTTACCCACAAGTCATAGCTGTCCTGCACTCATGGAATTTACTATATTTTCACCTGCATAAGGACAACAGCAATCCACCCTGACATTTTCCAGATAAAACAAACTAAAAATATACTGAGCAGTTTAACACACAGATTTTTTATTATTTTTTTTAACCTGGAAAAAGGAAACCATGAGTGAAGGAAAAAAGCTGAGAAAGACAAAAGCATCAATCAGAATCAGAAGACTAGAAAAATAAAGACACCAGAGAAGAAATGCATTTATCTTTCAATACCAAAAATTTCTTTTTAATCTTTCATAGAAGAAATTTCCCTCTCCTAAAGTCATACAATTTTAAAACTCAGTTAATTTGAACATTAAGAATAACAACAGGTTTCACTTGGCAATAGCCATAAACAAAGATTCACAGCAAGATGTGACACTGATTTTGCCACCTCTGAAGACAGTTATGTAAACCACAAGTTTTGTATGAACAGGTACACTATGAATATATGATATATATAAAAGATATACTAGATCCAGCTTTCTTAACATTTTGAACATGCAGTTATACAAGTATGGTTTTTGGAGGAATGTATGACTTACTACTGTAATATATGTATATGCTACCATAAATCAAATATGCATCTGCACACATGTGTTTAGAACCTATGTAGCTAATAGATATCTTTGCACAAGCATTAAGGAGAAAGATCTTCCAATCTCCAAGACCCACTGTTTGCTTGTTACCATAAGAAAAACTATTTTTTTTTTGCATATGATTGATGTTGAAGCTACTACAATAACATAGGTAACCAGAAGTTACAATTTAGTACTCTGTTATTAAGTGGTTCAAAAAACTAACCCTTTAAAGAGTAAAACACTAACAAACACACTTCGCATTTTCTTAAGAACATTACATAATAAAGAACCTGCTGTGATCAGCATAAACCTACTTTTCCTCCTTGAATACACTAGCATGTACTTCTGTGCTCCATCCTGTAGAACTTCTTTGAATACAACTCTTACAGCAGTAGGAAGCCGGGAGAGGGGTTGTTTGAAAAAAACAAACCATCACACTAGCTTCAGAAAAAGTCACATGAAGCTTCCACGTTTTCGTGGGCTATTCTCTCCCTTCTTTTGGGACACTTCCTAACCACTGCAACCAAAGCAGGCAGCAGGCAGTCAGAATTCTCTCTTACTCATACTCCCTTCACACTTGGTACTCATCATTCCCTGCTTTGTCACACATTGTATCAGGGCTTTTTGGTCCTTGAAGCTGTATCACTAACCTGTCAATTTTGATGATGTTACACATTTCCATATCACATCACTAAGGAAACTTAAGATCTTTAGTAATTTCTGTATGCTTTAACAGTCTTTTAAAGAGCAAAACAGATTTTTTTGGGTGATGACTTACCTTGTGCAACATAATTGCAACAAACACTATCAACTGGACACTAGTCTGAGAAGTTGAAGCTGCTGCACCCAATGCAACACCATCAGCTGAAACAGGAGTGCAAATTCACAATTATTCCTCCACATTAATTTCAGCTTTCCCATCCCCTCAACGGGTGATGGCACAAAACACATTGATTCAAGAAGTCCTATTACTCAAAATGCCATCAACAATACCAATCCAACACGATTCACTCCCCTTTGTTGTTAAGGCACAATAATTACAGGATATTAGACAACCCTCAACAGGAGCTGTGTCTAATTTCCCAAAACTATAAAAATCATACAGAGAAATCTATTCAGTACTGACACATTCTGACAAATTATAATCAGGTAAGAAGTTTAGTTACTTTAGTCTTTCGTAGTAGAAGTGGTTTCTCTCTGAATTAGAAGAAAATCTGCTTTAGAGTCTAAGAAAGAACTTTAATTACTACTCTTTAAACAAATTTTCAAATAAAATGTTGTAAATACTATATTTTTACCTTTTAATGTAAATATATTGTCTATATGAAGTAGGAAATGTATTCTATATTAAACCTTAATATATAGACATTTCATTTAGTGAAGAAATCTTTTTTACCAACATCTTATAACTTATCTAGACAATAACAATTAGAAGAGATTCAAGAGCGTATTTATACCACACATATATAGTGAAGAATTACAACATGAACATGGCATGGCTGCAACACACACGTAACTTTTTAAGCCCTTGCAAGTCAGGCCAAATGTCTGCCAAATCTTTGTGCTCCACCCTATTATGACCTTTTTCCCACAAAATACATGTTTTGAACTTAACAGTTTTTTAAATACACAGGTCAACTGACAAGCAAACCCAAAAGTGTTTCATACTACTTATCAAATGTGTTGGTGTGTACCGAAATTTAGCAGCTAAAGCAGACAGCAAAGGAACTGAAGAGGCACAGTGAGCATCACACAACTTTTCAAATGGGAAAAATAAAGTTACAATACTGTACCCAAACAAAACTCCATGGAACATTCTGAGCACTGTAGTATGCTTTCCCAGTGAGTTTTGGGAAAGATCCTTAGTTCTCCCCACCCTGTGTTTTTGTTGTTTGGTTGGTTTTGGTGGGTGGTTTTTGTTTTGGGTTTTTTGAGGGTTTTTTTTTAAATAAAAAGCCACCTTCAAGAAAAAAAAAATCCAAGTGTTTTCATCGCATCTAAAGATAAGCTGCACAGCAACATAAGTCCAAGTCCTAGCAATAGGTCCCATATTACCTGCAGCATGAACTACTAGTCCCAGTGTTGTTGTGATTTTGGAGTTGCCAGATCTTGCAGCTTCTGGATCTGAAATGATAATAAGGAAAGTTAAGAGAACAAATACATAAATTACACTGCAAAAATATGTATTGCTGCGTATGTGTCTACCAGCTGCTTAAGCAGTTACATTCAAAACTACCAGCTTTTGTATTTCTGCATTAGGTTTACTGTAAAATAGTACGATACCTAACACCTCCAAATCACCTGAAATTCTGTCAACAAGTGACAGAATCATAGATAATGCTTTGCAATTTACAGGATCATTAATACAGGCAGCAGAAGTTGTTTTTCTTAACCTCCTGAAACCAAATGTTAGAGTTCTGTGCTACCAAGGGGAAGAATAGCTAGTTTTGCACGCCCAGAATCCAGAGGTGCTTGAAGAGTCAGGATGATTTTTTCCCACGTAGCCAGGTGACAGTCTGGGGCAGTCTCTGCTGCACTGATTCTCTGACAATTCCTAATAAGCAATAAATTCTACTTGTCATGGCAGCAGTTGCAAAGACTTCCCTCCAACGTTACCATAGAGAAGAAATGCAACTAGTGCTGCTTGAGATCCAGTGTTCTGACTGGAATTGTCTGACAACCACTATGAGGATATTTGCAGGTTAGCTTATTACACAGCACAACAGGGCAATGTGCACCACTATGCAATCAGCAGCGAAGCTGTACAAAGGATCACTGCAATGAAAAGGGCAGGCAAGTCCTACACAGGTATAGAAACCTCTTATTGTTCAACTGTTTAATTCCAAACAGTTGAACAGCTGTTACTTCATTATACTAGTGTTCAGTATGCTGATGCAGGCACACTTACACAGCTACTTCATAAGCCTGCACTGTAACTGAAACAGAGTCCAGTCCTATTCCTTCCCTCCTGCTCCCCCACCTCCAGTTTCTCCCCAGTGCCCAGGCACCCACACAGGTGCCCAGTGAGTCAGATCAGGGAAGGGAGCTGGCTAACAGCTAATGTATTGTCTTAAGTCAGATTGATCCTCTGAATCTAGGGGAGCCTATTTGAGCAATTCATTGCATAAGCTGCATTTGGCCGACTGTGATGGAATACTCCTATCAAATAGGAGGAGATATTCACAGAAAATATCTCCTCTGACTTTGTTTTAGATTGACCAGAACAAAAAAACACTCAAAGAGAGCTACATTTGATTTCATATCCCATTCTGGCTAACAGAATTTTTACTGTGAGGGTGGTGCACCAGAACAGGTTGCCCAAAGAAGTGGTACATGCTCCATTCCTGGAAGTGTTCAAGGCCAGGCTGGAAAGAATCTTGGGCGGCAGAGTCTAGTGTGAGGCATCCCTGCCCATGGCAGGCAGGTTGGAACTGGATGATCTTAAGGTCCTTTCCAACCCTAACTATTCTATGATAATAAAAATCCAGCCACCTACAAGACAACAAAACTCTACCAGACGTTGGTTCAAATGAGAACAACATTTTTCTATGGTAATTTTAAAAAACATTACCAAAACACTACTACATTTCCTCTGACAGAGGTACAGACTAGATATAGCTTTATTTAATATCCTATTTTATAGCAGGTATCTCTAACACAAATCAATTTTCTCCTGGTATTTATTCTGATCAGAGACACAGAAAAGTGTCATAAACTGTACAAACCAAAGATTCTCCTGTCAGCCTGCATCCCCTTGTCATCCTTAGTGTCACTGTTTCCTTTGAAAAGCTCTGAAAATCAGCTAGACATAACTGTGGCTCCATTTATGCTTCTCCAGGAGTACGAAGGTGTCACAGCCCCCGCACTGGCTTCCCATCTGTCCCATGACACTAACCCTATGCAGGCGTTCAAGAGATGCACTGTGAACTGCTAAGGATCCAACCAGAACATACCTGTGTGTGTGTGTGAGTGTGTGTGTGCAAGCACGCTTTATACTTCCTTCAAGACAAAATCCTTAATTTTTGAGCGACAATTTCCACCATCAGATGAGATTATGTAGGAGAAAATGAGCAGCCAAAGGCAATAAAATAACTTTTCAGATGATAAAACACGTTTAGTGCACTCAGCCTGAGCGTGAAGCCACAGGCAGAAAACAAAGGCAACCATAGGCATCTTAACAGTCTTCAATGATGTTGAGATACCCGTGCTCTAAGCAGAAAGCATGTGGAAGTGAGGCTCTAGACCAGTAGGGGAGTGCAGCTGTGCAGTTGCAGAAAAGTACCAGAGCTTACATCTAGTCATTTCTGGAGTCTTACTTAAGGTAACTTGATGTTCTTTGCAAATTTTACCTACATGTACGAAAAGTAGGTAGGAAAAACAAACAAAGGCAAAACTAATCTGAAGGTTTTTGGAAAGCCAAAAAAATCCCCTATGGGTGATACTGTAAAACAGACTCACGTCTCACTGCATGTGCTCATCCAGTTATTTCATGTAGCAAAGCAAGTTCTCAAATTATGCTGAATTCCAGGACAGATTTTCAGCACAAACACTTCACCACAGACCTTGCTTTTTGTTTGTAAAGCACCTACTAAAACTCTCAACATGACTGGTCAAATTAAATCCCACTAGCATTAAAAAAAAATTGCAACTTGCTAATTAAGACTAAGTCAATCAATCAGCAAGCCTAAATGAAGTGAATCTTTACTTACCATCTGTAGAGTGCACATGAGAGCTGCCTATCTGATCCACCAACAGCATGAAGACAAAGCCAAGGACAAGGGATACACCAATGTAGGCATGTAACCTGGAATGGTCATGGCCATACTCATGCACAACCGGGATTTCTGCCACCTTCTCAGACTCCATCACATGCTGCATCTCGCTTGCAGGGTGATGCTTCCCTGTGGTAGGTAAGCAAACAGATTAGGAGACGGGACTAAATATGGCCAGGCTACTTTGTTTAAATGCTGCATTTTAAATACAAACTGATTGATAAAAATTGCAGAATAATTCATTTTTTAACTGAAGTTGCCAATTTTGTCAGTATTGAGAGATACTGTCAAGCAAATTAAGTCATAATCTTTATTTAAGTAAGAAAACAGAGTGAAGAAATAAAATAGGTTGAATCCACTGAGACCTAATGGGACTTTTTGAGATTAATTCTCATCTCAAAGCATCAGTCTCTAATTAAATAAATTAGCATTGATACAGCACATTGCCCTACAAATGTTAATACCATCCTAGAAACCTAGGAAGTCCAAGCCCTGGGGTTGAATATTGTGTGGTTGTTTCCTTTCACTACAAAAGTTTTAATTCCATGCCCCTACCCCAAGTCATTTACTTTGTCTCACTGAGCTACCCTGAAACTACCTTGAATCAAGGCAATTATAATAGTCTGTGTTGAACTACAATTATAATCAATTCAGACATCTTTCCTGTTTTAACCTTACAGTTTTAAAGTTTACTCTAGACATATTTTTTTTTTAAAGTGAGTGACAGTACAACTTTCACACACATAACTTTATGGCAACAAACAAAATGAAGCAGAGCATAAACTTGGGCTCCCCCAACACCTGTGGCTTAAGTGACAAAAGTAAAGCTTTTGTCAATCTGGGGAGGTCTTTTGGTTGGCAAATACTCTTCAGAGATTTTAGACATTAAGAGCAAAAACTTGACTTACTCTAGTAACTTATCTTCTTGCTGAAGTATTCATACACCTTTTTGAATGAGACACAACTGCATTATCCAACTCTATGCAATGTTGGCCAGTGCCATTACTACAGACAAAGCACATCAGAATAGGCTTGGTAGCCCTTGAAAGTTTTCACAAACTTATTTGTGCTGAATAAGAGTGAGCAATAAAATAACAATACCATACAGGACTGTTGACAGCTATATTAGAAAGTAAACTTTGCTTCAGATCATGTCAAGCCATATGACATAGTGGGTGACTCAGGACAATCTTTGTGACAGTGTTCATTGTCAGAGGAATTTTATTTGCTGGTAATACTCAAACCAATATTTCACTACACATACACATAGGCTTATGATCAAATAATAATCTGAACCACGATATGCTATTTGATCTCAGCCTATGAGGTCAGAAACTGAAAGTTATTTATTCTGTGGCCTCTGGAAAAATACAGAATTACTTTTGTATCAGTGACAAACACCTGTTCTGGTAACAAGCAACCAGCCTCAGAGTTAAATTACACTTGAAACTGGGAAAATAAAGGCCTCTCTCTTCCCTCCTGCTTCCCCCCGCTGAAGTTATATGAATATAACTCTGTTCCTTTAGGCACCTTTCTAGGCTCAACTATGTTCATGTGTGAATTAAAACAAAAATGCACTGAAAGCTGTCAAGTTCTCATAATCTTAACTTTGATTATCCTATGTTTATAAGAAAAATATTGGAAATATTTTTTTGCAGTTAAATCTATAATAGCCATAAATCTTGCCTCTTCACAATACAAAAAACTTTACAGACAGGCTTCAGACACAATACTGAGAGTTAGGAACTGAGTCTGAATTCATTCACAGAACAAATTCTTTTTTCCTAGATAAATACTTCTGGTATTACTACTGCAGTAATGGGAAGTATCTTTTTTTCTCCATGTACTAAACCTCAAGTTATAGAGCATATAGCTCTAAACAGCAGACTGTACATTTCATACATGAACAGTATGCCACATTTAGTGGAAGAAAAAAAAGCAAACATTCACAGCAATTGTATTTACTGCTAGCCATATCATTACAAGGAAAGTTTAGTCTACTTCAAATTAGAATTGAATGGAGAGCAAACACGTAACTACAGCTCATTAGAGACATCCTACATTAGAGTGCACAAATTACAGTACAGTATAAAAGCATAATCAGAGGTTCTTTCACTTCTTGATAAAGGATGATTTCATATTATTCTTCCATTTTACTTTAAATCTAAGTAGAAGAACAAATTCAGTGGAAACTAAGATAAATTATAGCATATTTAAAATGAAATTTTAAACAGTGTAGAAACAAGAAATATATAAAAAAAAAAGTAGTACAAGAAAAGCAGAGCATTACAATTATCTCTCAATCCCAGATAAGCAATAATGGTACAGGCACTTGCAAAGTTCTGTACAGTCTCAATTTTTTAGTCCTTTCTCCTGTAACCACTAAGTTGTTGCTGTTTACCTGCAGACAAATTTCTGATTCTTAGCATATGGAAAAACCTCATACATGCAATGGTAATATAATAGCACAAGCTAAAGCAAGCTTTAAAGCACACTCAGAGGCAATGAGCCCTGACTATTTCAAATAATGTCATAACCTCAAACTGAGGTTTACTAAGACTTTGGAGTATAAGATGTGCTCCACATTCACGAGTCTACATGACAAAATCAGCATTAGCTTTGACCTATTCACTAAAGGCTATGAGGTTTTGAAGAATGGTGATAGCGGACTAAAACAGGATGCTTGAATATGGAACTATGCGTGGACATCTGCTTCATTATAATGAATACCTTTACCCAAGAAGGAAATGCCTCCTACTCTGTAAATTAGCCCTATATAATAATAATTTTCAGTCAGGTATATTAAGGTCACTTAATTCCAATATATTCTTCAGCTTCAAAGACGGAAATTTTCATGAGGGAAAGTACATAAAGGTCTATAAAACACTTTCTGCAATTGCTTTAATTAAGAAGCAATCTAAACTGCAGAAAGCAACAGCAAATCATCCACAATTTCATTCTCTGCCGAAGGCCACCCTACACTTTCTTTGAAGTTCCATCAAAGTTAAACTTTAACTTTTCTCAGAAAAAGGTGTGCTACACATGACCTGGCATAAATAGCTGTGGTCCCATGAACTGTACACTACCTGGACCGGCAAAAGACTGGATCACTCAGCAAGTCATCAATCCACTACCTGCTCACATCTTTCTGTCAAATCACCATAAACATGCAATATCATGCCTATTGCAATTTTGTGATCCTGTGATGGCTTTGTATCATGGTGCTATGAAACCTTTTCTTCAATATCATGTTAAAAGCCCTAGAAACAATATTGAGTATAGCCTAACACCACGACCTAAGTTATCTTCAACAAGGGTGGCTGAGTTTGGCTCTTACCTTCCAAGATGTCTTCATAAAGTGCATGTACTCCTTCTGGCACAATGACAGCCAAGGCAGTTCCACACAGCAGCCCTGCACCCAGAACAGTCACCAACTTTAATCTTTCCTGCAAGAAAATACAAAACAAGTATTACCTTTAAGAATAAAAATGCTTTATTTACTCTCCAGAGGCTGGGGCAGAGAGGGGAATTATCCATAAAACCTCTTGCTAATTTCAATTCAAGAGCACCAGTTACATAGTCCTGTATTTCTAACAACTTTCTAGAAGCAAACATATCCAGTGTCCAAAGTAATCAAGTGAAGCAGGAAATGAAAATTAAAGATAACCCACTGCTTACATCAGACAAGAAATTAAAAGTAGTATACTTGAAAACAGCAAGAATTGTTATATTTGGCACTGATGATCATAGGGGTCTAATTTACCCACTGAGGTCTCAAAATGTAAGGTCTGCAGAGACAAAGACAAACTGAAAGTGGCTGAATTTTGAAGCATGTCTGCACCTCTACATTTCACCTCCATTCTAGGTTTGTTTTCAGTATATTCTTCCTACTAGAAATTATACTTTAACATGCAGGTCCCTTAGAAACACTGCTAGGTATGGCACAGCACAAGATAAATTGCCTGTTCCCCAAAAAAGACAAACTAAATAATAAAATACAAGAAAAAATAAATTGCCAAAGCAAAAACGTTAAGAGAACCAATAATATAAATGCATCGATGAATACAAATACACTGGGCAATTAGGAGTGTAAACTGGTAAGTCAGCTAGATTTATATAACAAAGAAAAGAACAGACTCCCTTTAAAAACATAAAACTGTGGACAGAAAAGTAATTTAAGAGAAAGATCTCCAAAAGCAGAATTATAAAAAAATAATTTGAAAAGGCTTACTCAAATGAGAGTTTGAATGATGGAACTGCACCAAACTGATAATGGGGCTAATATACATTTCATGTCAGTCTTTTTCCTTTTTTTAATCTGACTGGAGATGCATAAGTGCAGAGCAATGTGCATTGGGTTTATAACCATTTCTAAGCCTTCCAGTAGCATTTTAAAATGTAATAAAGTCTTTAAAGGCACTTAAGGCAATATAAAATGATATTCTGCTCTTCATGGAATTTCTCCCTTTTCCCTGTGCAAAGGCAGGTTCTAAAATAGATTTGTTACACAAGTATTGCAATTTTGTAATTAAACCATGACAAGTACACAAACTTAATGTTTTTATAGTAAAATAGTTTAATTTGTATTTCATTCAAAGTTTGTACAACATGATTAAAAAACACATGCAAAGAGTTTAAAAGTACTTGCTACTGTTAGTAAGGGTTATCTTCCTAGTTATACTCTAATCTGGAGAAAAAAAGCTTATAGAAATATCACCCCTCCTGCACCCCTTCCAAACTGACTATATTCTGATTTACCAATATCAGAACAGTTTACTATTACCCTGTGACTACAATATTGACAGGCTAAAGTCAAAGCCATGTACTGAAAATCCAATTATATAAACATCTAAAAGATTCTGAAACACAACACCTTGCAGAGGCTGTTTCCCATCATTTCTGTAAGAGCCCTTATCGTATCACACATAGCAATCATGGGAGTTTAGATCTTCATTAACAGCTGCATAGCACACATTCTGGGGCAGAACTATTACCATCTTCCATGCATAGTGACATGTCTGGGTGCTACCAAAATACTAATGTTCAACACCAAGAACCTGGAGACAGAGGTCAGTGTTTAACTAACAGGAAAACACTTGTTGCATATCCTTATTATGCCATCAATTCTCCTTCATGCACCATGATGAAACAACCTGTTCAGCCTCACCCACAGGCAACACTTGCCTAGGAGACACAGAATGCTCTAGAGATGCACAGCTAGCTTTCTGAAAACAAGCCAATGTGACAAAAAGGGAACAACTGCAGCATTACTGGGGAATATTCAAATAGTAATATGCAAGAGATGAAAACACCTGTAAAGTTTCTAAAAGCATGCACATGGCATATATGACAACTATACATGGTAATTTGTTGTACAGTGGCAATCCATGTGAAAAGATAATCTTCAATACCCATTGTTCATAAAGTCATTTTGCAAAAAAAAAGAAGTATCTTACAAGGAAAACCAGGATTATCTTAATACTACAGCACTATAATCTATTTTACATAGGTACATACACACAGGGGAAATAAGCTTTAGAAGTAATACTGATTTATTACAATTGCTTGCTTTTATTTAAGCATCTGTGAATTCTAAAGATCCATTAAAATAATGCAAACTAACAAGTTATTATTTCAAGAGAAGTCTCCATGTCCTTTTCAGTACAAAATAGTCCAACACCGTCCAAAGTTAGACCAACACAGTACTTACTACAAATTAGCATTAAGCAGAAAGGGTACATCTGCATACACAAATACAGTAGAACTCTATTCAGTCTGTACCTTTTTACCACCAGTATTTAGTCATACCTGACTTTGCTGGAGTTTTATACTGATCTGAGTCAAGGATTTTTGAGAGTGTTCAAAATACCATAAACTTGATAGTGTATGCGGTTACTGTTAGTAAAATGCTACACACCCATAAGACTATTAAGTACATGATTACTACTTATACAGTGTTGGTTTTGGATCCACAATAGAACTGTCTTTCTGCAGCTGCTGGGAACCCCAAAAGGTTTAGAAGTCCTATGACTCAGCTATAAAAATATACAAAAACCACATAAACACAGGTCAAGAAAGCTACCTTCAAACACCACTGAAGATAAAGTCTAATGCAACAGCTGCCTATCAAGCAAATACATGAGAAAATTCAAAATTAAATAAAAAAGAGACGATACTGGCAAGCTAGGCAGCGCCCTCAGCAAACTTCCAAGAAAACCCTTCCTAGGCTTCAGCACAAACGTAAGTTTTGAAGAGACAGCAGAAGCAACAGCACTGAAGACACGTAAGAGAAGTTCCATCAAAGCAATGGCAAAACAGAACTATGCTAACGTTCACGTAAAGACTTCAGAAGATAGTCATGTTTCGATCATCTAGCTGAACTGTACTGTTACCAAACAGGATTGCCTTGCCTTCCATGCTGCTGAGGGTCTACTGCTCCAAAAGCCTCCTGGTAATAAAGGGACTAAAGGACAGGCGCAACTAGCTCTGTGACTTGACGGGAGAACAAATCACATCTCTCTTCCAGCACTTCCCAAACCTTTTTTCTCACTTTCCAAACCGCTGCTCCCAGTAGAAACGGAAAATCTCTCATAAGAGAGCTCTTACTGCCTTAGAACAACTAGATTCTCACTACAACACACCTCTAAACAGCAATCATCAATCAGAAAGAGAGCCCCTCGGGTATAAGAGCACATTAGCAGACTTCCAGGGACGAACAATCACCATCACCTGCTTCAGCAACCATTCTCAGAATCGTTTTTAAAAGTCCTAATTTGAGTGCCCCATAGACACATAGTAACAGTTAACCTCTGAGCTCAGTAGTTTCTGACACAAGCTTCCAAGAATGTGCAGATTCTATCATGGCCTTCCAATACATGCTACGACTTTGCTTCACCTGTGGCTGAGACAATTTGGCTCAAATCTGGCAAATTTAAATGGCTTTTACAGACACTGTAAAAGATAAGCATAATTCTACTCTGCGATTCTGAATAAAAATAAGCACCGCATTCACAACTTCCCTAAAAAGCTTTAAATCACGACACCACCCCTAACAGCACTTCCACACTTGCAAGGGGACAGCACTAACTCTAGTTTCTCCCTTAGCAGCCAAAGCGCATTTCAGCGAAGCTGTCTTACCTCGGAAAAATTAACTGCCAAAGGGATAATTCCTGCCACATAGCAGGCCACCAGCATGGCCAGAGAGAGCAGGCAGATGGAGCGGAAGTCATCCATTTCGCTGGGTTCTGTCCGGTCCCTTAAAGTGAAATTCGAGAGCAACTTTTCCACCTCGTCCGCACGCCTTAACCCGTGCAGACACCGAGCTCCCAAGAAGGGCTGCCAGCCATGGCTCTCTTGCCCGACCGCTCCGTCCGGCTCGGACCCCGGCAGAAGCCCCTCCGGGCCGGGCGTACGGCAGCCGCAATGCCGCCGGGGCCGCCCAACACCGCTGCTGGGGAACCCCGGGGCGGGCAGGCCCGGCCCTCACCTGAGGCAGCGAGACCTTCCCCTGCACCTACCGCCCCCGAGGGGAGACGGGGCTACAGCGGGCGGAGAGACGGCCTAAAGGGGACGGGGGATGGCGTAAAGCGAGGAGAAGGCACAAGGAATCACCGAATCCCTGCCTCAGACGCCAAGTGGCACCTCTGCAAGCCAGCACTTCCCCTTCCAGGGCACACTCTCACCCTCCACCCCGCTTCCCGACTTCAACATGGCTGGCGAAGCCGGCCCGCCCAGCGCCTCGCGAGAGCCGCGGTGGGAAGGAGCGGTTCCCTCATCAAAGATGGCTGCCCAGATGGTTTCCCCCCCTCCAGCATGGCACGGCCCGCCGCTCCCGACATCCTCAGCGCCACCAAAGCCGCATGGCGGCCTTCGTGCGCGTGCGCAAACCGCCACGGTCAGCCGTTAGTGCGGCGCTTCCGGCGGGCGCGGGGGCTTGTGGGGGAATCATCGCGCGCCTCTTGTCCGCGGCGGTGCTGAGGAGTTGGAGCCGTGATGGTGAGCGCGGGCCGGCGGCGGTGCGGGCACGGCATCCCAGCGGAGCCCCGCCTGGCCGCGGGAGCGGGGCGGCAGAACCCGGGGTGTTTCCTTTCCCGGCCTGGGGCAAGGGGTGGCTGCTGGCGCCATGGGCGGGAAGGCGCGGGGCAAGGGGGGAGGCCGCGGCCGCCTATCCGGGTCCGAGCTGAGAATGCCCCGCCGGCGGCATGGTTTCTCCGGCACAGCGGGCCGTTGCTCTCGGGCAAGGAGGAGTTGGGGGGAACGCCCGCCCTGGCGTGGAGCGGGCTTGCCTGGGAGCCTCAGCCCCGTTCCAGGGCGGCCCCGGGGGCGCAGCTCTTCCAGCGAGCGCTGTCCTCGCAAATGCCTACCTTAAATGGCTGATTCGCGTTAACTGAGGGGATTTCTGCTCGTGCAGCTTTCTTGGCTCTTTCCCAGCGCTTGGTGGAGGGAAAGGCGGTAACTTGCGCTGGTGGGCTGCTTGAATAACACGCTAAAGCACAAAGGCCTGCCAATCGCAATAGGTTGTTGCATTCATTTAATAAATCAGAATGTGTTGAAGCAAGTTGTTGCCCTGCGGTGGAAGGGCGGCTTCTTCTGGGTTTGCAGCGAACTTCTGCGTGTGTCTAGCACTTGCTCGAAAACAGTTAGCTCCTGCTAGGGTGAGCAGCCGCAAGCCCTGGCCCCTGTTGTCCAGCGTCGAATCTTGTGACACTCAACCCACTTTTTCTGCCTTGCAGAAGTAACTGAAAGGCATTTATTTGTGTGCAGTATACTACTTGTATTTGCATCACTGCATGTCTTATAACACTTGTTTATCTTCCTTTGTTTTGTTTGGGGTTTTTTGGTTTTGGTTGTTTTTTTTGGGGAGGGGGTTGGGTTTTTTCCAATTTTATTGTTGAATAGATTACAATTGGTGGAAGCCTCTTTGTGCAGATGCTGCCTAGCTCCTGCTGGTTTGACTGTCAGCAGTGCCTTAACCATTTCTACACATTTGTGTCTTCAGTAACTGGAGCACTTTCTAACATACTCTTTAGAGGTTCAAAATTGTTGTGGTATAAACCATAAAGCATTCAGTGACCTGCTTAACGGGAGCCAACACAACTCTGCTTTTAAAGAAAACGCAAGAATGCCCAATATATGCCATCAGAATAATAAAAGTCTGTACTGGGCTGTTCCAGACAACCTGGTCCTAACACCTGAAGGTTTATGTTTTAGTTTTCTTATACCCAAAGGAAGACATAATAGTTATTAATCACACTGATTCTTGCCCTCTTATGTAACTACATATTCAGTAGGATAGGTAATAGTTGGAGGAAACTTCTCTCAGGCTTCTGAGTAAGTCACTATTTTTTTACTTTTAGGAGAGAAGGAGAAGTTTGATGAAAATTTTTTATTTTTCCCCTCCCGTAAGTGAAATAATGGGAAGTTCCCAAAGAAATGTTTGAGATGTAATGCGTTAATTATATAATACGATGGCCCCAGTGGCATTCATTTCAGTAATTTCCACACCAGTATCTGATAGGGATATTGTAAACTGTCTGAAGTGATAAAGCCAGAAACCCAAATAATTTCTGCTCTAAATTTCTGAAAGAACTGTCTTACGTGTCTGGCTCACCTTTTATTATTATTTTTTTATTGTTCTGTAATCTGATTATTGGGATAGTTTCAGAATATATATGTGCATTTAACACTTAAAGATTGGGAGGAATATTCTGGATATTTATAGGGCAGAAAACCTAAAATTATTCCACAGCAAGACACTGAGAGACAAAGTACAAAATTTACTCAGCTATCAAACAGTTCAGTTTTAGCTGTGCTCTCTTAGGTTTTCTCAGGCAAGTAGAACTTTTTCTTAATACTGAGTTTTGTTAAAGGAGATGAGTATGTGTTTGTAAGCAGACACCCAAAATCTAGTTTGCAAGACATTCTGATGCAAAAAGACATGCTGACCGAACTGGCACCTGACACCTCATCCAGTTGTTGTTAGTTAATCAGAGATCCTTAGTCATATGCTCCCAAGAAGCCGGAGTTGCAAGTGCTGGAACCAAGCCTAGTCATCAGTGACCAGCAAGTAAAAATGATAGTGCTAGAAAAAGTATTTTATAATAAAATTTGGCAGTCATTTGATCTCCTTGATAGGACATGCCTATTCAAGCACCATGCACTTAGGAATGGCCAGATACCAGCCCCCCTTGGGAAATGCCTTTCAAATCTGGCATCCTCTGGCATACATGAAAGTGAACTGCCTTTCATGATCTAGTTTCCTTTGTGTGATTTTTATTACAGTGTGTAGCTCTGAGTTCCCCTCTTTCTCCATTTCTGATTGGGAAGTCTTGCTATGTAACTCTTTGTAACTTTTTACTGAGTTTCTCCAAGTTTCCTTCTATCATGTTATTTAAGACAGAATTTAAAGAGCTGAAAACTCTATTCCAAGTGTGGGAACACTCTGTCACGGTACAGAAATTTAGTGTTTTCATGTATATTCCTGGTAAATCCTAGTATTTGCCATTTTCCTGTCACTGCACTTGAACACTGAACTGGTATCCTCACCAGTACATCCAAAGTGTGGGTCAGGATTAATTCAAGCTAAATAATACACAAAGGCATTTATTTCCAGTGTGTCCTAACTCCGCAGTTACCTCCATGAATATTGCATGTGTTGTGTTCACCTCATATATTAGCATTGAAAATGTTGGATCCAATTAGCAGCACTGGAAATGGTGTTTTGTAGCGTGCTTGCAAACTTTCCATGCTGTGTAACTTGTTAATTAGATCACAGATTGTGTACACTTCAAAAGTCTTTCCTGTTGTTTGCTCAAATTATTTGCTGTAGCCAAGTGAAAATTATTACATAAATAAAGCAAGCCACAGACTGTACAGCCATCTAAGTCTTTCCTGCAGAAGAGCAAGCCTACAGATCCTGACATTTGGAACAGTTATCTGTGCCATAATTGCTGTTTCAGTAGACTCACTGAAGTATGAAAAATCAGTGCATCTGTTTTGCAGGAAATCATCTTGAATACTAAGTGTGGTATTGTTGTATAATTTGCGTTCCCCTGAAGTGAAATGAATAACTCAAAATAGTCATTTCTGTTAAAATCTTTAAGGAGAGACTGATGATGAAGTTAAGTTGGATTCATTCCTTGCTGTTTAATTGGGGTATTTTAAATCTTACTAATAGCTTGCATTTAGAGTGGAATAAGTAAGTGCACTAATGGCATGGCTTTTATGGATTGACTTTATTGCTTTGCTTTTGCATTTAGATAGAAAATACCATTTCTGTGATACCTTTTTCAGCACAGCAGCTGCTTTCTTGGTGACTTTAGACTTTTTAAAGTTATGTAAGGATTGATAGGAACCAAAAAACTTTAACACAGTTTATATGAACAGTAAGTGCTTTTGGAAAATGCCTGTGTCCTTGATTGCTAGTTCAGTGTTCTAGTACTATGCTTCTTTTTAATGCTTCATCTAGATAAATAACTTAATTCAAACAAAAAAACATTCAGATTTTGCAAGTAACCTGTTTTCTTGGCGTTTCTTTTGTTTTTCAGTCTCACACAATTCTACTTGTCCAGCCTACCAAGAGGCCAGAAGGCAGAACATATGCTGATTATGAATCTGTGAATGAGTGCATGGAAGGTGGGTGCAGACATGGTAGTCAAAACTGTTGTTAAAACCTCATTTTGACATATTTCCAGACTTAGTAAGAAAATAAGTTGCTGTTTTACATTTAATGTCTCTGATTTAACTAGATGGAACTACATACAATTTGTGAAAGTAGGCAATATTCTTGGTGGGGTCATGCAGCAAACTTGCCTGAATGCAACTCTTCCTAATTTTTGTGCTAGCCATGTAAAGGAAAGGTTGCTACAGGAAATAATATATAAAATAAAAGTGTGTGTGCAATTGATACATAATTTGCAGCCCAGAGAAAAAGTCCTGTGTGACTTTGAGACACACAGTGAGCTAGAAAAGAAAATTGAGATGTTACAGCTGTATGATTTAAATGTGGACATTCACTTAACACTAACAATTGTAGTTCAGGAAGTTTTGCCAGGCAAACAGAAGCATAATAAAGACTATGTAAAGCCTCTGTGCTCACTTCCATGATATATTCTTCTCAAATGTATCTGAATTATTCATGGATTAGCTTAAATAAAACTGATTTAAGTTCATCTACAGGCTTGTGCTGTCACTCTTACCTCAGAATCCCTATTTGACTCTTTCATCAAGAATTATCTTTCTTCTGAGATTTGAGTAGCTGTATGTGATACTAGTTTTTCTCTCTGGTGTTTGTACAGTAGGAATATATGGTGCAATTGCTGTCTTAAATTTACCAGAAGGAATTTCATGTTTCCATTGGAGCTTACTGCATGAAAAGTTACATCTTTGACAGAACTATAACTTTTCCCTCTTGATGATGACAATGCTTCTTGCTATGCCTGTTACCTGGTTTTATAGTATTATGTTTCCATGCAAATAGCTAAAGCAAAAGCATTTCAAATCCTCAGAATCTGAGTAAGATGGTTATGTCTGTGTTTTCATGGTAATCATCTCTAAACTTTCCTGATATTTGTGGTTCAGTAGCTGAAGAAGTTTCAGGAAATAACAGTTGTGTTTTTTA